TTTGAACTCGGCCTGGGTGATTTGCATGTTGTAGCGAAGCTAGGGATTGCTTAGCGGCCTCGTCCACCGATGATCTGGGCTTCGGCCTGTTTAGGATGGTCTCGGATAACTCTGGTCTTGGGCCCAGGAGCCCCTTCCCTTTTCCCCCAACATCGTTCCCACTCTTTTCGTTTCCTTTCTTTGCCTCGTCGTTGTTCTTCTTCCCATTAAAACCCTTCCTTGCTTGTGTTTGGCTCTTCTGAGGCAAGAGACCGTTGGTGATAGCTTGATTAGGTAAGACCTGGCTTCCGTCCTTCCCACCTATACCTCACTTACCCTGTTTATGCCCTGGCACCGCGATTTGCGATCCACTATCCTGCTTGAGTTTCCCTTTCCGCTTGTCCCTCCCGTGTGTTTTGCCTTGATTTCCTAGAAACTAGCATCCACGACCCAAAACCCGGGTTGGTGTCTTCCTCGCAGGATGGCGAACCGGCCGACGGCTCCCCACCGACGGCCAATACAGTGTGCAACAAGGCGGCAGGTCTGAGAAGCGGGCACATGTCAGAGCAATGCCCAATCTTTCCACACTCGAAGCAAACCTCTGGGAGGTTTTCATATTCCACTTTTTGCCAGGCATCATCAAGCCAAATTCGGGGAACCAATTGCTTCGATAGATCAACCTCCATCGCTAACCGGGCAAATTTCGCTCGCTGTTGCGTAAGTGTATGGTAATCAAGTTTGATCGTCCGCCCAATCTAATTTCCTAGCGTTGTCACCACCTCTTTGTGGTAAAAGTGAATCTTCAAAGCCGGAAGCTGTACCCAGACAATCATGGTCTTCGGGAGAGGGTCGGAGGCCTTGAAACTTGGAGTCCACTATTGAACAACCAAATAATGGTCAAAAATCACCCATGGCCCGTCAGTCAGAGCCCGGAAGCAGTCTTGTTCGTTATCAAGTTTGACTAAAAAACAGTCATGGTCCAGATCTTTGATCTCCATGTTTATTGTCGGTTGCCAGAGGCTTTTAAGCCGATTAAAGAGAGTAACAAAGCCAATCCTCAGGCCAAGAAGCCGAATTACCAAGGAGCGCTGCCAGGGCGCGCATATCTTCTATTTGAATTCCGCCAAAATTGTCAACGTTGGCTCCCCATTTTGACTCCCTGTTATTAGATCATGCTCCCCCACCGGAGTCCACACAACCAGTTGATTAGGAGGAGTCGTTGGTTTCGACGAGCCCATTACGGCCTTAGCATAGGTGAAAGCCTGCACTAGCTTCTCCCCGTTCGTCTGGCTTTCCGTGGCCTCCATTGGAGTAACCTGAATCCCCTATTTTGGTGTCGCATCCGCCGGAGAGACCTGCACAGGCAAAGTAGAAACATCAACAGCCATATCAGACAAACCAATGGACGAAGCCGTGTTTTCCATAGCCCCAGAAACATTGGCAAGAACAGAGGGGTCAAGAGGTCCGGTGGCCGGTCAGAAGGGAGGAGGGCCGGCGCTGGAGTCGCTAAACCTTTACTCGCTGCTGAGAGCATTTTTTCGGGGGGGGGGGGGGGGGGGGGGGGGGGGGGGGGATTCACCTCATATATGTATATGTTGATATTATGAGTTCAACTCAAATCATATTTACTACCAAGTAAACTCTTTATTAGTATTACTTAAACTCATATTCATTGTCAATTTAAATCATATTCAATCCCTTGTAATCTTAAATTCATTGGCAATTCAAATCATATTCAATACTAGGTAAACTCAATTTGTCAATTTAAATCATTTTCAATACCATGAAAATATATGTTGACTATGTAATGAATACACATATACTCATAGTCTAAATGACAGTTGAACTCATATTCAATTCTAGGTGAACACATATTCTTTGTCAAGTAAAATTATATTTATATGATGTAAAGTTAAATTCATTCTAAATGACAGTTGAACTCATATTCGATCAACCTATACTCACTAGGTGTTACATATTCTTTGTTAATTCAAAATATCTGTAATACTATATAAACTTAAATTCATTTTCAATGACAATTGAACTCATATAAAATCAACTTATTTTCAATACTAGGTAAACACATATTCTTTGTCAATTCAAATTATATTTAATGCTACGCAAACTTAAATTCATTCTAAATGATAGTTGAACTCATATTCAATCAACTTATATTCAATACTAGGTGAACACATATTCTTCGTTAATTCAAAATATATTTAATACTATATAAACTTAAATTCATTCTAAATGACAATTAAACTCATATTCAATATTAGGTGAACTTATAGTCAATGTCATTTCCAGTAAATAAGCAAATGAAAATGCCTTAAATCACATCAAATATACAAGTCGACAGTTTATATCAAATCTCATCTCATACTCATATATTGGTTCAACTCATACTTAGTGGTTGCTCAAGTCATATTCAACACAAATGACCCATATGAATATTTCTCAAGTCTGATGAAGGATTTGTTCCTTTGAGCTCTTACATTAAAACTTAAAACATATAGCTAGAGATTCCATCATCTGCTTCAATTATAGGCCTTGGAGTCCAACCAATCCAAAGCATTCCAAAGTTCTTCCTCTTCTTCTTTTGGTGGCGATGAAAGCGGAGCCGAAGTGAAGGTGCAAATGCAAAGCGAAGGTAAAATAGGAAGGTGAAAACCCCAGCTCCTACTGTCCCTTTAGCGATTCACCATGTCAACAACTTAAAGAACATAAACCCAGAAATCCCATCTCATTCTTTCTCCTACATAAATTCGAAAACAATTCAAACCAAATTTCAGACCTTTTCAGCTATCGCGACACGGGAACCCTAATTTCTCCAGACTTCAAACTAGAAGATCGGGCGAAAGATCAAAACCCCTTCCAAAAATTCATTCACAAATCGTAACCACCGACCCTAGAATCCAGAATCCTAAATCTGAACAGCAAAGGCTAGAAATCTCACACTAAACAAACGGCAGGGATAAACCCTTATTCACTCGTGGAGGGAGTGGCGACAAAAATAGACGGTTTGGGAGAAGTGGCGAGAAGGAGGAAGGAGGCGTTTATTACTAACGACGAAGAGGAGACGACGTCGACAAGTGAAACAGAGAGTACAGAGAAAGAAGAAGTAGTAGAAGGGAGAATGGAGAATCAAAGTTTGTAGGAGAAGAAAATGGTGGTGGAATTGGCGATGACGAAGAAGGAGATGATTTGCCGGAGGGTTTTGAATTGGGGAAGAAGAAGAGCAAAAATCGGAGGTTGAGTTAGAGAGAGGGGATGGGGAATTTTTTTTTTGGCAACCAAGAGAGAGAGAATTGAAATGGAAAGTGAAAAGTGAAAAGTTATTGGTGCTCTCCCCCTTTATTGGTGGTCCTTTCTCTTTGGCTTGACTGGCTAGCCGGCTCATGCTTTCATTTAAGGGAAAATAAAGCCCTTCCCCAAGCCAACATATTACAACAATCCATTTTATTTTCTTTGTTGATGTGGCTGAATCCTTGCCCTATGAGTATATACTCACGAATTTGGTTGTTAGCACAATAGTCGGATTACAGATAATCATACTTACTTAATAATAAATCGATTCAAGATCGGATAATTTATTATTGATTAGCGCCTTCTTCTTAATCTCAATCAGCCTGTGTATGAAGCATTAGGAAACTCACTATGTGAAATTGGATCCCATAATTATTCTAGCATGTGTTTCAGGATTTTCAGCATAGTTGAACAGAACTAAACATTTTTTTTCCAAATAATATATATCTAATCATACTATCATTTTACACATGCACAACCAAACCCACCCTTATGTAATTACCTAGCTCAATTTGGAAATAAATCCTTATTTTTTTCCTTCTGTCATTGGTCAAAATCTCGTTAACTCGTTCCAAACCTAGTTCTAGTTTCATATCAGTTAACATTCAAAGCATGCAATATTTTAACTTTTGTATTCTATAATTAACAAATAAGTCGAGCCAAATAATTTTGTCCACCATACACATATAAAATCAATATTATCGTACACAACAACCTCATAACATTATAATTATCGAATTGGCGTAACAAATAGATCTCAATAATGAGCTTTGTAACAAAATAAAATATATATATAAAAGAAACACACATCACCTCCTCCTTAATCTCAATCATCATTGTTCTTTATTGTATAGCATAGTTAGTAAAATACGGTACGGGAAAGTTACGTATAATATACGGACGGGTATTTTACTTCGTCTCTATGCTAATGTTATGTTTAATAGTACGTTAATTGTCATAGATATAGAAAAATTAATTATTTTAAAAATAAATAAATATATTAATAATAGTAAAGTTAATAATTATATTCATTAAATACGGATATTAAACGGTTTATACGGGTTTTATACGTGTTTAATACGGGAGCCATCAAATGAACGGACAAAAATGAAACGGCTTGACAATAATACGGATACGGAAGTTTTAAACGGATAAAATACGTACGGGTACATATACGTGTATTAAACGGAGTATTCAGTACAAACCTCATTTCAAAGTGGCAAGTTAACTCAATATAATTATATAAAAACAGGTTTAGCAAAAATCCATTATCTTCTAATTGATTAATCCGTGGAAGTTGTACCAAAAAAAAACCGTGGAACGGGAAGGACCGAGAAAGGACGAAAACATATAATACAGCAGAAAAGTGAGTGGGTCAGCATCGTAAGTCAGAAGAGAAACAAAACAACAAAACGAAAAAGACCGTCTCGCTGGGAAGCAAGCAGAAGAAGCCGCAGCCACAAGCCCCAACAGCGCCACAGCCCACGTTGGCGAAGAGGGCGGAAGAAAGGGAGGCAACAATTCCATGTGCCCACATGGCTTCCTGCAGCTGTACTCTTCTTCATCACCATTTCTCCTCCTCCTCCTCCTGAGAGCCCATCCCTAATTTCATCCCCATTTCTCTCCCTACCTTTGTTCTCTTCCCTGATCTCCTTTCTTCCTCTCCTGTGATTTCTGCGATACCCACAAGAAAAAGATCAAATTTTTACGACAAGATGAAGGAGGGCAACGATGGGTTTGTCCGCGCGGATCAGATTGATCTCAAGAGCCTTGACGAACAACTTGAGCGCCATCTCAGTAGGGTTTGGACTATGGACAAGAACAAGCGATCTGAAGATTCCAATCTTCCTCCATCTGCTGCTGGTGCTGCTGTTCCAACTACTACTACTTCCCTTCACGCTTCAAAACCTACTTCCATGGCCGCCGCTACCGCCGCCACCGCCGCCTTGACTAAGGACAGGCGGGAATGGGAGATCGACCCTTCTAACCTTGTTATCAAGGGTGTCATTGCTCGTGGTACCTTTGGGACAGTCCACCGTGGTGTCTACGATGGCCTCGATGTCGCCGGTAACCCTTTGTGTTTTTTGCTCCCTTCTTTCAATCCTTCCTTCTGATTTGCTTATCGTCTTCATTTTTGCTGTGATTAGTTAGGTCTGTGGGGAGCATGGTTTTTTAGGTTACCTGGGCGATTGGTCAGACTATCAATTTTGTTTCTGTAGCCATTTGTTGGTCCAGCTCGATAGGGCGGTGATCCTGAAACCTTCTTTCCCATTGCTACGCTTCTTTTACTAGTTTGAGCAAAAGGTTGACTTAGATTTGGAAATTCATAATGGGTTTGTAACACTGGTGGGTTTGGTTGTTTGAAGGAGTAGTTCTGATGCAGCCCGTGAATCAGCCCGTGAATCCCCCTTTCAAGTTGTTCATTAAACCAAAAACTTGGGAGAGTTGGTGTTATCATTTGTCGAACTTTCATGTGATCCCAGGCTGTTGTTTCTTAATGTGACATTCACACATACTGACACACAGAGAGAAAGGGGGAAAAGGAAAGGACTTTGCTGTATATTTTGCTGCTAATTTGAAATTGCGATTGTTCTGATAGCTTTGTTGAACAATTTCTGTCCTTTCAAGAGGTTAATTTCTTAGGTCATTTGTTCTGAGAGTAAACATCTCTAGTGTAAGCTTATTGCCGTATATCTTCTGATTCTTTGTTGTACTGAGTGCGACTTTCATTCTGTTAAATCCCTCAGTTAAGCTGCTTGACTGGGGTGAAGAGGGACATAGGACAGAAGCTGAGATTGCCTCACTAAGAGCTGATTTCACACAAGAAGTTGCTGTTTGGCACAAGCTTGATCATCCTAATGTAACTAAGGTACATATGTTTAATCTTGGTTTGTCTATTTATCCGCTTATATGGAAGAAGAACTAGATAGTCACGGGATAGGTTGCGGCTGGCTTGTTAAGATTTTTAATTCTGAAGTCAACCAGTCTCAGCTTGCTCGAACAATTGAATGGGATTTATGCAATGGGCTGAGGTACACCGTGTGTACTTTGCTGTTTCCTGTTACATATTAGAGATTTGTCCTTCCGTTCTTGGCCTTTAAGGTCTTTTGAAATCCATGGAACATTTCACTAGGTCACATAGGTTTTTGACTTTGCATATTTGATTTGATTTTTTGTCCGCACTTCTGCCATTTATGGTACATTTGGCACCTTTGGAGGCAACAAACTTTTGTATCTAGACCTTAGGGTTGCTTCTCATTCAATCTATTCAATTCACTTCCTTTTTAGATGTTTTTATTAGATTTCTCGGTTTTTTTCTCGTGTATCCGAAAGACTTCACTTTCACAGGTTACCTTGAATAAATTTTAGCCTACTATTTTGGGGTTTCCCCATTTTTAGGGCTAGAGGGGTTTCTCTTTTTGGAATTTGATAGTAGAAGATGTGTTCTTTGCATTGCTGGACTTCTTATATCTTTGTCCTCTCTTTTCTTTGGAATGAAGTGCATATGCTTTGAATTTAGGAGACCAATTCCCGTTCTTCCTTTTACCCATCAAAGGCCTTAATTTGACATGCCTAAGTTGCATGCTAAACATTTTACTCTTTCAAGAGCATGAGAAGTTAAGTCTACTATCTGTTACATCTGCGCTAATGATCCTAGTATATTTAATTATTTATTCTCTAACCTAGAGATGAAGAACAGAAACTTCTGTTTTCTACTAATTTTGGCATAGTTCATTTTTGTCATGCCATTCTTGTCCGTATCCACCTTAATTTTCTTGTCTGGCCATCAGGGCATCGTCCTGTTGTCTCTTATATTGGATAAATGTAGAATACCCAAACTTCTACTATTTCTTCATTTGGTTAGTCCTGTGGCATTTTAAAGGGCATGTGGGCTTCCCACTTACTGGATTATCTGTCTTGGTTTCCCCAGCGAAAACTCTTATGTTGCTTATAACAGTGAGATCTGGAGGTAGTGCTGGACTTGTACTAATTCTTTTTCTCTTCTGCCCATCAACCAGTTCATAGGTGCAACAATGGGCTCATCAGACTTGCATATACAAACTGAGAACGGTCAAATTAACATGCCTAAGAACATATGCTGTGTTGTTGTGGAATATCTTCCTGGAGGTGCACTGAAATCTTACCTTATAAAGAATCGCAGACGGAAGTTAGCTTTTAAAGTAGTTGTCCAGCTGGCGCTTGATATGGCTAGAGGGTAAATGAGACACCATCTTCATTAATTATTTCCAGTCGGTACCCTAATCGAGTCATTGAAATACTGACCTTCCAATTGATTACACTTTTGTAGGTTAAGTTACCTTCATTCACAGAAGATAGTTCACAGAGATGTGAAGACGGAAAACATGTTACTGGATAAGACACGCACTGTGAAGATTGCAGATTTCGGGGTAGCTCGTGTCGAGGCTTCAAACCCTAATGATATGACTGGGGAGACAGGGACACTCGGATATATGGCTCCTGAGGTACATATATATACTATGATTTACAAAGATGCTTAAGGGGCTGTTTGATTCCTAGGAAGTGTCCGTGATATGAGAATACATGGTGTCTGACCATTCATCTTTTTTACTTGTCATAGTCTAGTATGGAACCATGCAATTGGCCTTTCATATCTTAACAGGATTCATGACACCATGTATTCTTACACTTTTGTACACTGCAACTTATTTTTGTATGCTGGGTTTGACAGGTTCTGAATGGAAATCCGTACAACAGAAAATGTGACGTGTATAGTTTTGGTATATGTTTATGGGAGATCTATTGTTGCGACATGCCCTACCCTGACCTTAGTTTCTCGGAAGTGACCTCAGCTGTTGTCCGCCAGGTAAGCTCACTCTTGTTTCTGTATCCTCCCTCTGCTGCATAGTCTGCAGATTCAACCTGCTGACACTTTGATATTTGTTTGGTACTGCAGAATCTGAGACCCGAGATACCAAGATGTTGCCCGGGCGCTCTGGCAAACATAATGAAGCGATGTTGGGATGCCAACCCTGACAAGCGGCCTGAGATGGACGAGGTTGTATCATTGTTGGAGGCTGTTGACACAACAAAAGGCGGTGGCATGATCCCCCCCGACCAACAAGGCGGTTGCCTCTGCTTCCGCAGAACCCGAGGTCCTTGAATCCCTCCCCGCTGCTTATGAAGCTGTTGCTGTATGTACTAAATGGTAAAGATCATGGTAATGGTTGATTTATGGGGACACACACTAGGGGGGTTGAGGAGGAGATGCAGTAGATCTTTACTTTATTACATGTAAAGCTTTTCATTCCTCTAATCTCTTCCTCCTGCTTTTCTTCTTAGTTTGGGGTAGCCATTTTTTTAGGAGGGTATGGCTGATATGTCTTCTTCCTGCCATATATATATATGATGATGAACTCATTTGTGTAGCATGCCCTCCGAGTCCCTAGGTCACTGCTAAACTCTTTAGTATTATGGGAAAAGTTTAGTGGTTTATGTACCTGGAACTGAACAGAGATTGAGTCCTGTAGTTGATTAAATACTGTTTTAGTTGTTTGATTCTGTAAGTCACAATCAAAGAACGATTTTCTGTTGTATGTGTCACTTCATTGTGTGGTGGCTCAGCGAGATGTGTGTATGTTGGCCTAATACCATAAAATGATCTGAACTTTCTTTTGATCGAAAGCGATTCAAATTAGAAAACGAATACGAAAAATGGCCAAGCATTCGTATTCGTGGGATGGAAATCTTTCGAGGGAAATCCTTGAGAAGAAAAAAAATGAGCACTTTTTTTTTTTCCTTTTTTTATCCAAGATAAGCCCCCAGTGCATGGCCGGACAACAAGATACAAAATACATAATAATAAAGAACGATAGCCCGTATGCAACTGGACTCTCGATAAAAGAGCCTGTTATGTCACAAGTGGGCAGCTCTATGAAAGCTCCAAGGAGCGAAAATACACGAAACTGACACGGGGACAGGAAGAGAGAAAAAAACTTCCCTGAAAATGGCTCCGGCTCCGGGAAGGGAAGACTTCCTCGATGGATCCATGATGATCAGTTGAGAATCCACACAACATGTGACAATCAATACATTATTAGTAATATACCATCTCGTAGTATCGCTAAGGACAAGTAATTTTGATATATAAACATTGATAAGTTCATAATAGGATTTAACAAAAACAATTGAAAGAGTTCCATCACCTTAGAAGTCGATGGGGCCTGTGGACAGTCTTGAGAATTCTTTGGTATGACTAAATCACCATGGAAGAGGTAAACTCGAGACTAGTTTTTGTGTCACGACTCACAAGTTGAAGATGCGCTCGACCAAAATAATTGAACAAGAAAAATAATGAAAGAAAATAAAATACTAACGTGAAACAAAAAGTAAAATAAAATAAAAGAAGAAAGGCCGGGCCTACAATAATAAAGAAAGCAAGAAGGTAAATTGGTAATATGAACAACAGAAGAAAAAAAAACTAAAAATGATAACAATCACTGGAAGTCAAATAAAATTTAAAACAAAGGAAAATGAAAAACGGAATTTAAGGGGTCGTTTGCTTCAAGGATTTGCATCATGGATTTGGTACCAAAAAACCAATCATCATGCATTTACACACAATCCGTTGTTTGCTTTGTCAAAAAATGTTTAGATAAATTTGTGGGCCACATGGATTTGGGGTTTTTTTTTTTGCTCCAAATTCATGGGCCCCACGGTTTTATAAATCCCACCTCATACCCTGGGATTTGGAGACAAGCTGAAAAATCATCAAATCCATTATAAAATAGCTCAACAAACAAAGGATTTCCTCAAATCCATAATGCCCAAAATCCCTAATAAATCCCAAGGTTTTTAATTAGCAAATCCATGACAAAACCCTCATTATAAAATCCTTGAAGCAAACGACCCCTAATTGAAATCTAATCAAATAATAAAGACCAAATCAATAAGGGGAAGGGGAAAGCCTAACCTCTGCCGCAAAGGAAGCATCTAATTAATCAATGGTCAATAGAGAAATTAAAACAAAACAAGCAATACAGTACTAACAAAGTAAACAATGCTGAATATAATGCTGCATTTTCTGTTTGTATTGTGACAGTAACAGTACAATGGAAGTCATTGGTGTCTTTTTTTTATTTGTTAGCTAGCCCCCTAAAACTCATCTTAACTACAACAACAAAAACAAAAAACTAATAGCATATAATCTTCTCTGATCCGAACCAACTCGATTATGATGCTGTTTTTTTTTTTTTTTTTCTGCTGCAATTTCTTTTTCAACTCTCCATAACTTGTTTGTATTATATGTCCCCTGTTTTTTCTTTTCTCCTTTCCAAATTGAACAAAAGCAAACAAAATGCTGAAAACAAATGCACAATGGGGAATTGCTGAAACAATACACAAATGCTCCAATGGGGAGGAAGAAGAAGAAGATCCCACATTATTATGAATTTGGTTTTGCTGGCGCATATAATACTTCTCCTAAACCTTACTGGAGAGCTGAATCTCGGAGAACTCCTCCTGATGGCCGCCACGAGGTGGTTGATCGTCGTCGTCGTCGTCCCAATTCGTTGTTCTGTAGTAGATCGCGTACAATACCAACTGTAGCAACGCGAACAACGATCCCAGACCATTCGGTATCTACACAGAATGAAGTTAAAACAATTTTCTTATTTCACCTTGTGTCTACTCAAGTCGTTCACAGTATGCTACTGCTTACCAGAATGTTAACGTCGAACTTGAGAAGCGCATAGATGGTCCAAACGATTCCATTGCAGAACCCAGCTAGGGAAAGGAAGAAGGGCATGTACTTCACGCTCTTCGTCTTGATCACCATTTTCTGCTCACCAGTTCATACTACTAGTTAGCAATGGCAAAAATTCTACAGTAATTGTCCTCCCAGAAAAATGCAGTATAAAACAATATCCTATATTAAAGCGTTTCGGTGATTTAGAAAAGTAAAAAAAACATAATTTTTTTAAACTTTGAAATGCGATTTTTATTGCATTGCATAAAAGCATTCAATGAATCTGGACTACGTTATTGTATGTTCACGTACCACGACGGTCAAGGGAGAAGCGTACATGATGACGTTGAAGATGATGCAGAGGAGGCCGACGAACATGGCCCTCTTCGGAGGAGCGTGGAAGACGAGCAACGTGATGAGCAACACTCCAATGAAGAAGGCTGTTTCCACCAGCAACGTTATGATCAGCTTCCTCTGCATCATCATCATCATCATCATTATTATTTCATCTCATATCACATCATCAGTACTCTCTTTCGACAAATTAATGTTGATGATTAATACATGCAGGCATTTGGAGTATGCGTAGCAGTAGTACGAGTAGTATTATGTAGTACTGTTATGTAATTGCAGGCAGGCCAGGTCATCAGTTATAAACGTACTCGCTTAACCCAGGGAGAGAAGATGAGGAAGATGGCCACGTAGATCAACTCCAAGAAGAAACCGAACCCGTTGATGGTTACAACCAGTAAGCTGTCCGGTTTTACGAACGGCATCCCGTACAAACTCCACATCGCGCAGTTCAGCAGCGTCATCACGTACGGATCCGCCTTGAAATCCTGCACCGCTTTCTGTTTGATTATCTGAACGAACGTCGGCCTGCAACAAAAAAAAAGTCGAGTTATTGAGGACGAACTGGTTCTCTCATCGCGCGATACTACAGGTTGAAAAATTATTTCTTTTTTTTTTTTTTTACTTTAGGGAGGAGCGAGATCCGAGTGACTTACAGTGGGGATAGAAACAGGAAGAAGGAGATGACATTTCCTGCAATGTGGCACAATATAATAAATGAATCATTATAGTTACTGATTTCTCTCTACCTTTTTCACCATGTATAATTTTGTAAGAACATTAGATGATCAGTAATGAGTTATTATTGGTTTACCAATGATGCCGACAACAGTACGAACGAACATGGTGTCAACCATTTTGGCTTTTTTTTTTTTTTTTGGCTTTTTCGGGGGCTCTGATTTGATTTCTAACTGGTCGAGATTATGGTTAGAAAGTGAGTTAACAATATGGATCAAGAAACAAAGAAGAAGAAGAAGAAGAGTTAATGAAGAAGTGGGATTAAGTACAGTTTTAGTTTGGAATGGAGGAACGTTAGATGGGATAATTATATGTAGAGAAAGGGAAGGAATAATGAATGGAGGTAGTGGTGATGAGGAATTAGGGCATTTATCGAGAATGGCTGGTGATCATTAGTTTTGCTGCTGTTCTGATTTGATCTGATCTCTTCTATTTGTTCTTGTCTCTGAATTGTGTGTCGCTGCTTTTTTCCCGAAGGTGACGGTTTTAATTAAGGAGGGAACAGAGAGACCATTTTTCTGGATCTTGGCAGCTGGTTTCTCGCTTCAGTTTCAAGTTTCAACGTAACGTACGTGTAGGTAATAATTGACTAATCATGCATGCATGCATGGAGAGGATGTGTATGTTCTGTTCTTTAGATCAGTGAGTTTTCCCACCCTTTCCATTTTTGTCAATTCCGTTTTTGGAGTTGTTCTCTTTTGTTAGCCGAGAGATCCATTTGTGGAAAATATTGGGTTTGTCTTATAGATGATCGAGATGTCTGGAGGAATTGATAAATTCAAGACCTTCATTCGAGCAGGAAAAAAGAACCCTCTGTCGTAAATGTTAGCAGAGATCACGACGGCGAGTTTGGCAGCCATCTCTTTGAAGAAATTTATGATGATGAATTAGGTATTAATCGCAACTTTTCTGCACCCAGAACTCAACAACAAAGAAGAGTAGTTAAAAGGAAAAATATAACTCTTTGAGAGATATGAAGAACCATGCTACATGAGTTCAATCTATCTCAAGGTTTGGAGAGATATGAAGAACATTGTTATCCGAGTTCAATCTATCTCAAGGTTTTTGGGCAGAGGCTGTAATTAAATACATCTTATTACACACAAAAAAAATCAATTTTTTTTAATCATAGGTGAATTAAATAAAAACACATTATGAAATATGGAAAGGAAAAAACCTAATCTAACCTACTTCTATCCTTTTGGATGCAACCGCTTCGTCTTAAATACCAAAGACCACCTAGGAAAGTTGGATGAAAATCGAATTCTACAAAACAGAAACAAGTTTAACAAACAAACTCACAAAGTGGAAGAACCAATAACTCCATGGTATGTTCAATTATCTACCTAAGGAGAATGTGGGTCAAGAGGATGAAGCTTATAACTTATCTCCTTACCGATTGATTACCAATAAAAAATCACAACTCTAAAATCTCAAAAAATCTTTTACGCAATGAGGAAGAAATAAAGTCGTTCTATTTCAACAGTGAATAATGCAGAATCAAATCATTCATGCAGTCATGCACCTCCTCACATTCAAAATAGACACCTAATTAACATCTCAGCTGATAGGTGATCACTGATCACTCTACTCAATTATTAACCCGAGCTAAATCCAAAATTATGTGAGTTATATATGCTTTAGACTATGCATTTCTATCTATCATAGAACGTAGGATGACGTTTTTTTTTTTCGAGTTATATCAAAAGAAGACAAGAGTTATACAAACAAAACTACTCAGAAATCCCGTTCAAGCGAAGTTATTAATAATGAATATTGGAACATTGCTATGCCAGCGGAATTAAAGCAATTTGAATGAACTCAAGTTAGCTAGGAGCTAGGTACTTCATTAAAGCAAATTTCAATGAGCTCAATGTTTCGAAATAAAACTAATGATTTAGGTAAAATGAGTCGAAATAAAGCTCGGGTAATTACTAAAGCTATATATGGTCAGGAAATGGAGAGGTTGTTGCCCGGGCAAAGGATCAAATGCAATAGTATTGGGTATTGTCATGACTCGAAATGTCGTGACCGTGTTGATCGTCTGAAAAACGTTGTCATCTGGTTGTCTTGCTATAAGAGGGGTAAAGGAGGTGACATTAGCTATAAGGCGTTGTCTGCCTGTGCATCGTTTCTGGCCGAGCCAGGATGTGGCTATGAAGGGGATCGTTGCAAGAGAAGGCACAACTGGTCGGAGGCTATTGTCGCCTCCCTGATGAGCCCAAGGCAGGGCGAAACCAGTTGGCATGCGTATGCGAAAAGGTTGGTCTTAAGAGATGAGTGCACCTCAAGACGCCGCACGGGCTTCGAAAGTCTATGTCTGTGACAGTATCTATGGGGTGTATAACTAAATTTCATCCTTTTATATGTATGGATAGGTCTAATAATTAAGATTATAGTACTTTTTATAAATTCTTCAATTGGCTTGTATTTCTTCCAGTGGCGGAGGGAGATAAGGAAGAGAAGGGTCCTAGGACCCCACTTGGCAAATAATTGGGCAACAAAACCCTTTAAATACATAGGTTTTAGTACGATAATTCAAGTTTAGGACCCCATACTCTCAATGATGTTAGCTCACCAAGGACCCCGGTTAACTCAAAATTCATTAGGTACACAAGCATTTATGTTAGTAAAATTTTAAGGACCCCAGTGGACTCGATGTCTGGCTACGCCACTGATTTTCTTCTTCCTCTTAACACAAATTCTTTAAAAAAAATTTCAGATAAATGAATTCTTTATTATCTACAAAATAATATTCATCTTTTATAAATTTCGCACACAAATTTTTGTACGAACTCTATTGTCATCTACAACTAGCAGACCACTATGGTAAATTCTTACTACTTCCTATAATCTTGAGTACCAACCTGGCAATTATCGTCTCCACTAACAGTTTTTTTCGTTCCATAATATTTTGATATTATTTTTGGACCAATTACATCACCGTCTACCATCACTCTTACCATTATGGTAACTTTGTACCACCATGGTAATTTTTTTTGTACCAAGCATGATTTATCATGGTATCCTATGATAAAAATGATGTGTTTTCATTTTATTTCAGAGTTGTTTGGGGATCTTGTAGACTTCCCTTTTCCTAATTATTATAATTGATATGAAGTTATCATTTTGGGTTGCAAGATATATCAAAGTGGTAAACAAGGATTTGGTTTAATACTGATATTACCACTACACTTGAAAATTGGAGGTTACAGGTTCAAATCCCTTAACTAATGCCTAGTTCAAATCCCTTAACTAATGCCTAAATCATTAAAAGTAAACATATATCATCCTTATAATAAAATAAAAAATATTTCAAAGTGGACATCATTTTGTTAGTATAACTAAAAGTTGATTCTTTGCCCTTTGGTATAAAAGTTTAAAATTTCAAGATAAAAACAATGGGACTTATTTGGTTAGATTTTTACGCTGAAGAGTGGGTAATGCACCACCACTAATTACTGACCGGATCTACTCCTCTATTTTCGATTATAATTTGGTCATCTCACATTTCCCGAGTACTGGCCATCAACATATAGCCGTGTGAAGGCTGATGAGAGTTCACCTTCAATATATGATTACTAGAAATCAACTTTGAGGCTGATTACTTTTGCTTATTGATTGTCATTTTTTCTATTTTAAATGTCACATTATTGATAATCCTGATAACAATTCTCGCAATATCATCATTACGATAAATTGAAAAATCCATACTCCACAACATGTTGTAGACTTGTAGTATACTGTGAAGTTATTTTGAACAAACCATAGAGACACTAAACCGAGAAAACAAACAATCAACTAGCATATAATAATGCTGGAGTGGTTTCCATACCTAAAAATATGATCTTCTGTTGATCATAGGCTTGTAACATGAGGCAGGATCAGGTCCACGATTCAGACCATAGAATACAATAATAAATCTCAAAACTTGAAGAGAATCTTTCCAAATCACGAACCATCCCCAACAGACGCTGACACCATCATTATTAATCCAAATTGTTTTGGGGTCATATTCTTATATATATATATATGATGTCACGTTTATGTACAGACAAATTGTAGCAGTAGCTAATCACACCGCTAATTACAACACTTCCCCGATGCAATGCCAAGCAGACAGAGTAATTAGCTCAATTCGCCTGAAGAGATAATGGTGATGGAGATAATCATCTCTGTTGTCCTGTTGGTGGGAGGAATCTCTGCTTTGGTGTTCATCCACATCTGCATAGTCAGCAGGGCTTTCGCCGGTGACGATGGTGCTGCTGATCATGGAGATCATCATCAGAACGTCATCATATTCGATGACGGAAATGGGTTTCGCCGCCACGGCGGCGGCGGCAGGGGAGGGATCGAGAAGGTGTTGAATGAGGATGTGATGATGGAGAGCGGGATCCCCTGTTTTAGCTACAAACAGGGCAGAGACGGGAGCGCGAGCGCGGTTGTGGAGTACTGCGTGGTTTGCTTGGAGAAGTTGGTCGTTGGGGAGAGTTGCAGGCTGCTTCCCAACTGCAGCCACTGCTTTCATGCTCCGTGTATAGATTCATGGCTTCTCCAGACGCCCGTCTGCCCGATTTGCCGGACCGGAGTCGACGTCGTCGCCGCCTCCCCTGTTTCTGATTCTGATTCCGGGGAACTAGTCAGCGTTCTTGTTGGGGATGGATAGCGAGGGAGCTTAATTCATGCTGTGAAAAAAAAAACATGTTGATGGATGTAAAGTTTTCTTTGCTTTCTTTTCCCCCTGAATCCATACGTAGTCAAATGAAAATTTAACTTCTCTTTTCCTATGGTTGTTGGCTCCTTGAAGAAAGATGGGATTACTTCGTGGTGCAAGCTTTGAAATCAAGCCTTGGCCTCACTGTCGGCAGGGCTGACAAGTCAAAGATGCTTTGATGGTATGGTGATGGCGCCAAGGAAAAAAGAGACGATTTTGTCTTTGTTACTGCAATTACCTAATATGCAGAGTGAGGCTGAAAAGACAGGAGGTATGGACAACCAATCCACATAGTTCAATCACAAAATTGTTCTTTGGATCAAGGAGACAATCCAAGTCACAAACAGAAAATGGATCTTACGATGACTATCAACCCTGATTCACAAAACGGGATTCATCTGAAACAGCTATAACTCAGACATCGACTGAGCAATTCATTTCAATGGCAGTATATAGGTTTTCCGATTTTCAGACACTATCTTGGCTTCACCATGAAAACCGAAAGTTAAATGCAACACCATTGAAAGCCCTACCATCTCGATAAGGCCATGGACACAAGAAGACAGAGACAGTGCAGATAGCTGAATCTTAAGGCAGAATCACACACCAGAGGGAGGAAGTTCATATTGAAAACAAAGATCAGTGCAGATGTTAATGAGCAAAAGAGCTCACCATCCAAACATAGTGCGACATGTTCACAAAACGGATCGACTCTTGTTAGCTCATACCATCATTTGCAGAACATAAAATCTGAGATACAGAGTCATTAGCTTTACTTCTTCTCGGCATTCTGCTCCAATTCCCTCCGTAGCTGTAGTGAGAAGTCGTCATTGACATCATCATCATCCCAATCATCCTCCCACTGCTGTGTCACCTCTTTCCCTTCATCCTTCTCAATCCACTCTGCAGTTGGAAACAATTATGAGGAGGCATAGCCGAAAAATTTCGAATTGAGGATGCAATTTTTTAGCTTTAATACCATTAGTATATCCTTGGCATGGTATCTTAACAAACCTGAAATCCTAATAGCTCCAACAGACAATTCAGCTAGTCAATAGTTGAAGAAGGCCATGACCAGAATTGTACTTATATTCTATTCATGTATGAGATAGCAGCACCAGCCAATGAAGAACTTACTCACTTAGTTCTTGCACAGAGTTCATCACATCGTGCAGCAGGAATTGCAACAAAGGGGATCATCATCAATATAGAAACTAAGCAGCATTACCAAAAACCCTAAATCCTAGTCTTGAATACCCTTGGCGCAGTCTCTTAACAAATCTGAAATCCTAATAGATCTCAGAGGCAATTCTACTAGTCATTAGTTGCTGAAGGCCATGAGCCAGAATTCTACATCTACTCTATTCATGTAACAGATAGCAGCAACAACCCACGAAGAACTTACTCAATTAGTTCTTGCACTGAGATCATCACATCGTGCAGCAGGAATGCAACAAAGGGGATCACATCAATATGGGAACTAACTAGCATTACCAAAACCCCTAAAATCCTAGTCTCGAATAACTTAGTGTTCATTGCAACGATTATGTCAACTCTGGATTACCAAAAGGCAAAAACCCTAAATCTCTACAGAGCCAAACGAGAACAGGAGTGTTACCTTGATCGATTTCGAACTCCTCAAATTCATCATCGTCCTCGAACAGGTCCATCTTTACGTCCTCGGTAGCTGCCTTCTGCTCGGCCGCCATTCCAATATTGCGAAAAAAGTTCCTGCGAATGCCCGAAATTGAGAAGAATGATTAAATCGAGATCGGAGAACAACTGAAAATACGAACTGCGTTCCTCTGTTTGATGAAATACAATAGAAGCAGAGAAGATCGCGCGAGGAAAGAAGAAGAGAAGAATCTTACCTGAAGCGTATAATCGATAAGCAGCCTAGCAGAGGAATGGAGAGCGGAACCCTAACTTTGACACTTCAACTTCAGAGACGGCTACTTCTAGTCTTCTTTCTAGTTTCTACGACCCAAAAGGAAAAATCGGGAGAGAAGAGGAGAGGTTGAATACAATTTAATACTTCAACTAGCACATTATGACATCTTAGTCACTGAACTTCCAAGCTATGACAACATTATGCCTAAACTTCAATTAGTTAACAGTTTAGCTCTCTCTTATTCTTTTTTATGTATTATTTTTATTGATAATGTTTTTTGTGTATTAATTTTAACAAATGAAAGGATATAAATGGTTGAAAAATATAGGAAACATGGTAAAGTCTGCTTAAATCTGAATACCATAAACATTCATATTGCTATCGGTTCTTTGTTATTTGATGGTAATCCTAAAATTTCAAGAGATTCTTAAATCTTAGGCATAGCCATGATGATAGTTAGACAAGTTTAGAAAGATCACTATGTGAACTTTCATAGGGATGAACTTCACATGATAACATATATCTTAAGTCTTGGCATAGCCATGATGAATCTGACCAAAAACGACGATGTTGCTCTAGCATAAGGAGTACCAAAAATGGAAGATCGTTCCTTTACCTATTAGATGGACTTTATACTTGCCACTTTGTTGCTCACCATATTTTATTTGTAATTCTAGACTTGAACTTGTCTATATCACTAGATAACATATAGCCCAAATCATAATACTTCTTTTAACTTTGGTTAGTCACACTAACCTTTGATTAAACTAAAATTTCTAGAAAAAAAACCAAAAAATCCAATTCTAAATTAACATACAACACAACGTATTCGATTTCTGTATTCACAAATACGACTTCAAAAGCCGGTCCAACCTAAAACAATAAATTTTAGCGTCCGTCACCAAAAACCAAACGGAGCTAAACTTGACCTCCCTAACAATGGTTATACTATTTACAAGTACCAGACTCGGTCTACGAACTGAAGGTTGTATTCAAGAAGCTACAAAAATTCAATGTTTTAACAAATCCTATTGTACCTAGTCGGTCGAGCCGGAAATGTCGGTACTCGTACCAGAACGATATACGACTTTAACGGTAAAAAACCACTAACCTACGATTAAACCATAATTTTAATATAATATACCATACCACTGACTTTTCCGGTATAAACTTCGGTACGGTTTCACAATCCCTGCAAAAATCACAACTCACGAAGTTGAGGCCTTTCGCATGGACCATCCGAATCCAAGAAATCCCCTAAAGCACCCGTCTCGCAGAACCTCTGCAAAACCTTGATCAAATCCCTCGCCTTTCCCCTCCCACTCGACGAACTCCCTTCCGTCGCCGCCGAATACAGCGAACCCATCACCGATTGCTCCCCCGCCAACGCCTCCACCACTTCCGCTCCGCCATTCTTGCACAGAGACCACAACATCGAGATGCAGTGCTCTTTCCCACCACGCACCGACCGCATCGATTGCATACCCTTAATCGCCACAGGCAAACCCGAATTCCTCACGAGCTCGATCGTCCCTTCCACCGTCTCCGCCAGGGAAGCCAGCACCGCCAGCGAATCCGCCACCAGCTCTTCCTTGTCGGAACTCGAAACGACGTCGATTAGCACTGGAACGGCGCCGTTTCTTAGCACTCTCTGGCTGTTCCCCTGGTACATTAGAAGCCCAAAGAGCGCCACCACGGCGTTCTTCTTCCCGCAGTGGGTTCCGCTTCTGATCAGCTCAATCAGCCCTGGGATTGCTTCCGGAGTTTCCCCGATCAGCTTTCTGTACCCTTTCACCGACGACAGGTAGAAAATCGTCGCCGCCGCGATTTGCTTCGACTCCGAGCTGGACCCGTTTTTCAGAACGGCTAGAATCGATCGAATTCCATCGTTCTCGACGATTGCCCTCTTCCCGCCGGCGTGCTTCGAGAGCTTCAACAGGGCTGCAATGGCGTTCTCTTGAGATGCAGAGGAATTCAGGAGGTTTAGCAGGGGGAGAATTACCCCTGCTTGAATCAAACACCCCCTGTTGAAGATGTTGGATTTGGAAAGCAATCGGACCTCGTACGCCGCCTTGTTCTTCTCCTCCTCCGTTCCGAAACCCAGCCTCCTTGCCAGAAACCTGGACAGGAATCTCATCGCCGCGGCTGCAGAATTGCTTCCTGGGTTTATGGTTCTGGCGATGTTCGAGCCGCCTTGGGTTGTGGCTGTCGACAGGGAGATGCCGCGATCGATGCAGAATTGGTGGATTACGTTGCGGAGATTTGTATTCGGGACAAGCTCTTTGCTCTGCAGCCGCTCCCCTGTTTTGGGGCACGTAGTGTTTCCCGATTTCAGCCACTTCTGTATCGACGATCGGTCGTATGTCTGGCCGGTGGATACTGTTACGGGATCGGTCATTAGCTCGAGCGAAATTGGGCAGCGGAAATCTTCTGGGTTTAAGCAGGCGAGCTTCTCCGAAATGATTCCGGTCTCACTCTGTTCTTCTTCCCCTGCATTAGAATCCAGAGTTTGGAAGAAAATTACTCCCCTGCAGTAGCTCAAAACTCCCAACAAACTACTCAGGAACGACACCTCTCGTTGTTCCCCCTCGCCACCGGAGCTCCGAAGCTCAATTTGCTCCTCCAGGAATTCAATTTGACCGTTGCAGTGACTCCACGTCCTGATCCCGACGAAATCGAGAATGCGCTTCACGAAATCGAAATCGGGCTCGATTCCTCTATCAAAACAATTCAACACCGATTCAACCTGCTTCCCCACCAATTCCTCATCTAGGTCCACCTCCATTTCCCCATTCCGCCCATGCTTCACCACCAGCTCAACATACTCCTTCACCTCGCCGCAAATGTCCATCGTATCCAGCGGCAGGATCTCGAGAGCCGTGGCGATTGACCCGATCAGCATCCTGAACTGTCCTGCCACGAATTCCGACTTCATCAGAACCCACAGCGTGGCGTCTTCCCGCCCCAAATCTTCCAACAGGAAGAGGATTTTCTGGAAGGCGAGGTGGAGCTCGGAGAAGCAGAGGAAAACAGAGTCCGAGAAAACCAGCTCGCAGTCTCTGATCTCCTCCAAGAACATGAGGAGAATCCCGACTTTCCGAATCGCTCTGCGAGCATTCTTCCTCTGTGTCACGAATTGTTTCCCGTGCTCGCAAATCTTCGCCGCGAGGTGGATCAGCGAGGCCAGCAGAGTAGCCTGGGAGATGTTCTCGCAGGGATGGACCGCCGGAGAGGTGAGAATTCGGCGGCGGCCAGTCGGCCGGTTTTGTCTCTGAATCATATCTGCTTGTTAGTTAAGTGTAGCAAAATAAACTCCCAACTCCCACCCTCAGATATTTAAAAGGGAAATTGGGAGGGACACGTGGCGAGAGATAAGGGACTGGGAATGTTGGCGGGTTGACGGCGACACTTGGCGGCATATCGGGCAACACGTTAACGGGACACGTGGGGGGAAGGGATTGGGGCGAGGCAGCTTCTTGGATCTCGGGTTGTAAAATAGTGTTTATGGGCTTCACTGGTGGATGGAGTGACAGGTTTTTACGCGATATTTCGCGGCCCATGGAAAGGCAACGGTGGGCCCATTACAAACCGACCCAAGGGGGTGCGTGGACCAATCAGGGGCTGACTTGTTGCTTCGGGAGGAGGGGGACGTCCACGGTTGAAAGCTTGATGTTGAAGTCAAAGGTTATAATAGTCAGGTCCAGGTGAGAAAAATAATTTTTGAATTATTGTGGTTTATTAATTAAAAGAGAATATGCTGGAAAAAAAAAATCATAAGTGGGCTTTCTCCTTCATGTGGACAAGAATTACGCGCAAGTAAATGCTAGTATATTAGATTCCTTGTATCAAAAGCGTGTAAGTATTAACGTGTGACCTTAGATGCAAACAAAATATTATTTATCCAAATACTTTTGGGATTTGATTATGTGTGCCTTGTCATTCTGGCATAGTTCTTACCACTATGTTTGGCAACAAGGGAGTGCAAGTTCGAGGGGGGTACAAGTTGAGGGGTAAATTGTTGGGGGGTGCAACTTGGTGGAGGGTGTAAGTGGAGGGGTAAATTGTTGTTTGGATGAAAAAGTAGGGGGGTGCAAATAGAGTAAAAAGTAAGTAATTATATTATTATAAAATAGATTTACCAATTTATAAAATATTATCACAAAATAATAACATGAAAATTCAATATATAATAATAAAAATAATAAATAAAAATAATTTTAATAAAAATAATTATTATATAATAATGCTCAAATATAATTATTTATAACAACAATAATAATCATTGGTCGAGCAACCTCGAAACTCGAAATCCAACTCGTAACTGGTCATCCTAAGGGGGTTCTCGTGCCTAACTTTAAATTGAATACGGTCAAACTTAGTCAAACACGTTCGAATCTGTAAGTTTTAACTACTTATTAAAGTAAATCGAGTTAACTAAACTGTTCCTCTCTATCTTTTCAACAAATGCTTCTTATCTCTAATTTTCAATGCAAATTCGGGTCAACTAAGAGATATCGATTTGACGAGGCGAACATTGACAAACTTGCTCTCTTAGTCAAACGGTCAACCCCAAACAACTTCTACACTAATATAGATATAAGAAAAAATTAATAATATTAATTATTATGTAATTATAATCTAATTAAAAATTCATAATTCCCCTCCTCCTCCTTCCCCCTCCCTTCCTTCCTTTCCTTGCACCCCAATTTGGGGGGTAAGCCGAAACAGTGAATTTACGCTCACGTTTTGCACCCCCCTACTGTTACAAGATAACCAAACGGGGGTAAACACCTTGGAACTTGTGTTTACCCCTCCAAACTTGCACCCCCTTCCATTTGCACCCCTTCCCAAACATAGTGTACGTGACAAAACAGAAAGCTATACATTTGCTTATCCAAAAACAAATTCTAGGATGACAATGGAACCACCGGAATTTATGCAACTTGTAATTTGGGAGAGTGTTACGTGTATGAATCGTAATGGGTCGAGTTTTGAACGATAATATTGAACTAATGTTCTGCACTCATTTTCTATCGTGTGAATCGTTTTATTTTGTTTTAGTTGATGTACTGATAATTTCTTATCCAATCTGGAAGGATTATAAAATCAAAAGAAAAACAATACACGATTTATATGGTATCCTATCCATGTTATTTGGTATGTATCTCAAAGTAACCAATGGTATACTAGATATGTACTTGAAATTCATCCATATATTGGCAAATTCAAATACCATATCCAGCTAATATCCAAACAATAGATGTAATATTTAAAATTAAAAATCACAAATACTAAATACAAATCTTTATATCCAAACACACTCCTAAAGTTATTGCACAAGCTTCCTGTTAATGAAACCCACTTCAGTTACTACATAATTTTCATAATTCCCTAGCATTCATACTTTTTTTTTAAGTTCTGAGGACGAGAGCCCCCTGGACACTATGTAGCTCCGATTTCGCCTTTGGTTGCTCGTCTGGCCTTGTGGTTCGCCTATCATATGGGCAAGTCATTCGGGCATTGGGTTCCCACCACAAGGGAGTGACCGGTCCCTACCTTGCAGGGGCGGAGCTACAGCAGTCCTCGGGGAGGCCCCGGCCCCCCCGAGAATCTTGAAAGTTACGTATAAAATGTTCGGTATTATACCTATAAACTAAAGGTTACGATTAAATATCTTGACGTGCAATAGAATGACAACGAGCTTGGTTTAGTCTAACGGAAATTGAGGGGATTATTTTTCGAAACTAGCTTCTGTTCCCTGGTTCGATGGTTGTGAGAAGCAAGCTTGTACTTTTTTTCCTTATTTCTGTTTACCCTCCTTTTCTTAAGCAATTTTGAGAATCCATTAAGTGAAATCAATTAATTAAGCACTTCAATAAATTGATTTAGCCATATTAACTTTTTTAATTATATTTAATTATAAACTTTAATAGAATAATTTCAATTAAATTCTTCAATTTTAAGGACAGTTCGAGATACATGAGAAGTATTTGTAATTTTATTCCCCTTTAATAACTTCATTCATGATTTAAATTTCTTAATTTCAAATCTATCAATTAAGTTCTTCAATTGTAACTATTAGACTATATAAACAGTAATTGTTTTCTTATGCTAATATTTATATATATTTGATTTTTAGTTATGCAAATAGAACGCGCGATACAATGACAATATTAAAATATATTATTATATTTATATAATTTTTATTTATATTGAACTTAATGTATTTATTGTTGTGGTTCTAATAAAACAAAACTATTTTTTTAGCCTTTTTCGATAACGTTTTACGAAAACTTCGGGCTCCCCGATCGTTAAATCCTAGCTCCGCCCCTGCTACCTTGTAGAGTTTCTAGCGGCTAGAAATGTAATTTCCTTTGCGGTCTCTAGAAGTCTGCCTAGTCTTATAATGGAAGGTGATTCTTACGAGGTTATTCGTCAGTTTCGCCTCAAAGTGGTAAAGATTCGTAGGGTGCCTCCCCTGTTTCGAGAGTGTCGTTAGTAGAATCATTTCTCCTTTTATATATTGTTTAGTGTAGGTTCGCGGACTGTCAACTGAACTGCCTATAAAATGGCACGTAAAACTCTGTTACTGTCTCTATTAAAGTTGATTTTCTATGATTTTGTAGGATAGCTTCACTAAATGGTGTTCTGGGTAGAGGTTCTACTTCTAACTGTTTTATCCATATCATTACTTGGAGAGAGAAAGATCAACACGTCAAAATCTGCAGTGGACAATACATAAACTAGGAATCAACACACTCATAAAGTTATTTAATAACAACCTTACAGAGATTAATCTGTTGCCTTGCCATGTGTTTAAGTGGGTTTGCTGGTATGTCTTATTCGATTTGTTAGTTTATATTTAGTGCTTTGCTTTCCATTTTCAAACAATCAGGGTCGAAACCACTTGCCCACTTGGACAAAACCCTCCTGTTTGGTTAGCTACTGTCTCTGGCATTTCACAAAACCACACAACATGATTTACATATTCATCCTGGTTGCAGCAGTAGCACACACTTACTATCTTCACTGGTGGACAGCCGAACATCAATCTTTGATGTTCCCAGTCACCTAGCAACTTGCTTCCAGATATGCTGTGTTCAATTCACTTTTTTTTTTTTTTTTTTGCGGGAACCTACAGCCAAGCAGGATTCTTGAGAGGGGTAACGACTGCCTTGACTTGCAAGTAGTTGTGGAGACTGTAGATGCCCTTCTCCCTCCCAATCCCACTCATCTTGTACCCTCCGAAAGGGATGGCAGCGTCGAACACGTCGAAGCAGTTCACCCACACCGTCCCTGCTCTCAGCCCCCTCGACAGGGTGTTCGCCGTGTCGATGTTCTGAGTGAATACTCCTGCAGCCAGCCCGTATCGAGTAGTGTTGGACCTCTGAATCACCTCCTTCAAGTCCCTAGCCCCCAAACAATACAGTTATATAATTAAGACTCGGTTCTAACCCTTACATGATTGTTTCATCTTAAGGATGGATTGAACAGATTCAACAATACTCACTTGAACTTGAGGATGGATTGAACCGGGCCGAAGATCTCGTCTTGTGCTATCAACATATCATCCTATTTTATAAAGTAGCAGTATTTTAGTTTTTAGTGTGATTTAAGCATCAGGTAGGAGCTTAAAATGGAGGTGAAGTTGTGTAGGCATGAGACCTGAACATTGGAGAAAACAGTGGGTTGGACGAAATAGCCTTTGGAGCCGAATCGATCACCACCGCATTCCAGTTTAGCGTCGCTCTCAACACCTGACTTAATGTACCTCAGCACCTTCTTAAACTGCTCTGAATCGATCTAGCGTTGAGCAAAATCGAACGATGTTTTGAATTGTATGTTCATGTGTTAAATATTGGAAGGGAAAAGTATGCACACTAGAACCAATTATATGTTAAAGGTACCTGAGGGCCTTGTTCAACACCCTTCCTGAATGGATCGCCAACTACACGTCTCAGGGCTCGAGCCTTTGCTTTCTCAACAAACTCGTCGTACACTCGTTCATGGACATAGGTTCGGGACCCAGCACAGCAGCACTGGCCCTGCACAACCAGAATGGAACCATGATTGAGTGGTGAACAATGTGTGGAACTGTGGATAATATACACAGATTACTCTCTCTAAGTGGCGAAAGAGACAAGAACCTGATTGAAGAACAAGGCAAAATGTGCAAGCTCCACGGCCTTGTCGACATTAGCATCCTCACACACTATGAAGGGTGATTTCCCTCCAAGCTCTAGTGTCACTGGCTTAAGGTTGCTGTTGGCTGCCAATCGGAGCACAACTTTGCCGGTCTCGGTTGATCCTGTGAAAGCAAGCTGCGAAACCCTCCCCGAACAAAATGGACCATCACAAACTAGAGACATGACTTGGATTCACTGCACCATTACAAAGCATCACATCAAATTTAATTTACCTTATCAACATCCATGTGGCTAGCAAGGGCAGCGCCAGCTGTTGGACCATACCCAGAAACTATGTTTAGCACCCCCGGCGGTAGACCAGCCTGCAAGTTACAGACGATCACTGTAAATCCGTAATGTAATCTCTATCCATTGAAATCAAATACTGAAATGGAAAGAGTAATGTTTTTCTTTTGTTTTCTGAATCTGTTCACCGTTCTCACCTCCTGGAACAACTTGCCAGCATACAGAGCTGTAAGAGGTGTCTGTTCAGCGGTTTTGAGAACAATAGTGTTGCCACAGGCCAAAGCAGGGCCAACTTTCCAAGCAAACATGATGAGTGGGAAGTTCCATGGAATGATCTGTCCCGCAACACCGATTGGTTCGTGCAATGTCTGAACGTGATGGTGGCCGTCTGCTGGCATTGTCATCCCATGAATCTTGTCTGCCCAACCTGAAAATAGAGAGAATGAGAGGAGAAACAATTAGCTAGATCAACTAAAAAACAACCAAGGACAAGAAAATCCACAACACAATGGCAACATAATCAATTATCTAGATCCGCACCAGCATAGTAACGAAACAGACGAGCAAACGATGGCAATTCCGCTTTGGCAGCTTGTTCATAAGGCTTCCCATTGTTCCATGTCTCTAGAGCTGCAAGTTCATCTCTATGCTTGTCCACTAAATCAGCAAACCTCAGAAGTATCAATGACCTTTCCTGAAACAACCCAAAAGTAACTTGCATCAATCTCCCAATTACTCCATTGGATGAGTGGTCAGAGAAGAACATAATGAGCTATAGTTGAAATATACATAAGCGGTCATCTTGGGCCATGGCCCTTCATCAAATGCTTTCCTGGCAGCTTTTACAGCCCGATCTACATCTTCAGCGTCAGCTTCAGCAACGTGGGCGATCACTTCCTCGGTACGAGGATCATATGCAGGAAATGTTCTGCCTGCAACATACATGCATACAGATTACAGAGTTATCTTCACCAGAACAGAATCGATCCCCATTTTGGTGACAATAATCAAGAATCGATTTTTAATCAAACAATTTAGGGTTCCATCGAGGGAAACAATTACCGGAAGCCGAATCAACGAACTGCCCGTTGATTAGATGCTGGGTGTAGCTGATTTTAACTGGGGGAGTGACCAATTCCTCGACAGCAGCATTCGTGCCGAACCCACGGATGGTTCTTCCCTCTCCCCTGCCATGGATAACTCTTCCTGCCCAGATCATCCCACAAGTTCATCAGTGATTTGGTTAAGTTATATGCAGATAAACAAAATCAAGAAGAACCCACAAAGTGAAAAAGAGAATCTGGAAAGCAGTGCTGAAGGGGGAAGTTATTACCATGGAAGAGAAGTAGGGAAGCAGAGGAGGGTGATGCAGAGTAAGCAGAGAGTGAGCGAGAAAGCAAGGAAGAAATCCTGCGACTTGCCATTTGCTCCCTGTTGCCCTCTCCCTCCCCAGAAAGTCGAATTCTTTTTACTCTATCTCTTAATGGGTGCTTCTTCTTCCTCTTCCTATCTAAATCTGAGCTGATAAACCAGAGAAAACGACTCTGTTGTTTTCTGGTCACCTAGCTGAATGGTGATTAATAAACTCAACTTCTCCAGTCTTCCATCCCCTGTCCTTTTCTTCACCATCTACATTTGTCTTCTCCTCCTTTGAGTAGTACCAGTGCCAACTCGCCTTATCCTTAACATTATGCGATAGTACAGAAAGGGCGCCTTAAACTTATGCCTTTTTTTGTCGTACCTCATGTGCTCGTTTTCTATTTCTCTTCTTTTCATGCCTTGTTTTTGTTTTTGCCAGATGAATGTAGGAACGTGCGAACTGCGAAATCATACTGAAGGTTATAGCGAGAAAGCTAGCCGTTGAATATTTTGTATTAACCACATAATATACACCACTTTCTACACTAAACACATATCTACTCTCAGCACTATCCCTCTCCTAACTCTAGCTATGGCGATCATCATCCTAACCAAAACATGTCTCCACCGATGTTACAAATACCCCTTCTTGTTACATACAAACCTCACAAGCCTAGATATCTTTATGCATTAAAATCAGGCTCTTGAGGCTTGAACAACTTGGGCATCTTCAAAACGTCATCACCAGGCAACTTAGGATGACTGCTAACTCCCTTTCTCGTGTTCGCTGCAAACTTGGAAGCAAGCAATGTAGCCCCAAGATGCTGAGCCTTCTCCCCTCCGTCGTCCGACGACGACCTTCCACTTCCACTCCCACTCCCGCTCCCTCCTTCGTCGCTGTAGTACCCTTCCCCGTCCGAGTACTGCGAGTAATACAAGCTCTCTTGCTTCGCCAGCTCCATCGCCAGCTTCCTCCTTTTGAACCTCTTCCACGCCGCCTGTATGAAGCAGGCCCCCCAAGTCCGCCATTGATGAGAGTAGTACCGAAACGCGTGCTGCAGCGTCTTGCTGTGCAGTCGTTTGAACTGCTTGGCGACGAATTTGAGGTCGGTGGCTCGGAGTGCAAATGCCTCCACCTCGCTCAAGCACCTCACTGTTCGTGTCGACAGGGGCAAGTTCATGCAGGATGATGGGTTTATAGCCCACGTAAGAAGCTCTTCGCCGCAGAAATCACCAGCTCGGAGATTGATGGAGTTGTAGAACCCCGTCCTGCCACCGTTGGTAGTGCTGCTCTCTAACTGTCCCCTGATGATGAAGAGCAGTTCGTTGACAGGGTCGCCTTCTCGTACTATGTAGGTGTCCTTGGTGTTTAGGGAGGAAACCAGGCGTTCGCAGATGGCGTCGAGGAGCTGGTCGTCCATTTGTGCGAAGAAAGGGACCTGTCAGAACAAAAGGACAACTCTTTCAACTGTCACGAGTGAATGAATGAACCAACAATCAAGTAGTTGTGCGCACTGGTTCTGGTAAGGTGCGTGGATGATTAAGCATTGGCATAAGACCATATCGAAAACAATGGCAAAATGAGGAAGAGAATCTGACCAAAGGTGCATTTGATCCGATTCATCTGGTTTTATCTAGACTAAATCTGTGATCTCTGGAATCAAAACTGAATTGAATTATGTTTCGATGTCATTTAATTCGATTCAAAAGTTGATTAGTAACTGTATCACACCTAGTCCACTTGCCAACAGCGACCAACATACTCAGAATCCTACCTATTTCAATCTGATTCTAGACTAGACCAGACCAGACAATGTCATCCCTACCAAGTACCAACAAGCTCCAGCGCTGTCCCATTGTTGACCAGTTAGGAAGCTGGAAATACAAGAATGAACTTACACGTCTAACAAGAGCCAGGCAAAGATGCCGTTGAATCCGACGTCTGATATCTAGTGGGAGGGCCTTCAAGATGGATTCTTCATCCACACCACGCGTTGCTAACCATTTATACTGCACAAATCGACGAATTCTCTCTTGTAGATCTGGAGGTAGCTGGCGATGCCTCATCCATTCCTCTGTATCCCTTCTCCTTATCCTCCATTCCTCCAGCCTCGCCGTTGTGGATTGCATATACGTCTTCCAGACAAAAGAATTTTGCAACAATTTTCCCAAATTAGTAAACCGGCAATGATTCAATCATAAATGGGGAAAATATGCTAGGATACACACCTGCATATTTCCAATGAGATGCGCAAACAGCACGAGACCCACGATGCATACGCTAATGCTGAACATCGTTTCGCCTTCATAAGTGCTTGTTGCCAAACTTTGTCCATATGAACTGCAAATTAGACGTTGAGAATGTGTGACATGGAGAAAGTTGAGGTGAACAATGGCAAGTAAAGAAGAAGTGAAAGGCAACCCCACCTCAAGTTTCTGAGTCCAAACCAAAGGCAGTAGAAGTACTTCTGAACGATATTAGCCTCAGCAACATGATGGGTGAAGGCATCTTTAAACATGCCAAATTGGACATTCTTGTCATCAAAGGCATCACAATTGGCGATGAGATGGGTGATTCTCATCCAAGCCTGCCGCTCACGATCCTGCTGGGTTGCACAGTCGAGATACTCGAGTTTACAGGAAGGGGAATGTGTTACATTCCTCTCCAGAATACATTGCCTCTCCCAGCAAGTTCGTTGTCGCTGGATCGACGCTAGGTACCATATTGCTCCTAGAACCTGCACTAACCCCAACAATGCCAACCGTCTTAATTAAGAAATCAACAATGCTATCAAACTATGCGTATTCACAAGGGAAGGAGCTTCTGGTGTTTCCCCAAATTTGATTCAAAAGTGGGGTGTTTGCTTACATGACTAGCAAGAACATAGAGGAGCAGATTATAAACAGCCCCTGACCAAGCAGTCTTGGCTACAACTCCAGTGCTCTTCACAATCCTTCTATTCAGAGGAAACATAATGATAATTCGCGGAATGTATTGAATCAGGACGATCAACGAGACTGTGTGGTTAGCATGGCTAGCGGATGTGTTCTTCACCGCTGGAATAATGAACCAAATCACAAGCTGCCCACAAAACCCACCAAAACAATGGGAATCAATTTCACATTCTAATTCCCAAAATCACTAGAACCCTAATTTCCTCTTCTTTTTTTTTTTCAAATTCAGGAGACCTGAGGGAGAGGGAGCGCGGCAGTGACGTCGATGATGAAGGACCAAGACCTCAAGTACCGAATCGCGATTTCTCTGGGATCCATGACGAGCTCTCCCCTGCCGAAAACCCTAGAGCTGGGGGCGACGAAGGCGGTGCGGAACTTCATGAAGACGTGCAGGATGAAGAAGAGGTCGGTGATGGTGCGGGCGAGAGTTACCCAGATGCCGAGAGGGACGTCCATGGTGAAGCAGGCCTGGCCGCCGACCATGGGGAGGTAGAAGTACATTGGGTCGACGAAGAGGGCGATGATGCAGGAGACGAGGAAGATGTGGTTCCATCGGTTGACGAGATCGCTTCCTGGGTCGAGGATGTGATCCCACCATGGCACTTTCCGCCGGAGGTCGAAGGTCTTGGATAAGTTGATCGGCTGGAACGGTGGGAATGGCGGGAACGGCGCGAATGCGCGGCTGTGGAGGCGATCCATTGATTGATTTTAGTTCTATATGATCATCAGTTCACCAAGAAAAAATAATGCACTTTTTTTTTTTTTTTTTGGAGGGGGAGGGGAATTTGAATATTTTCGTTTCTCCTCTTCTTTTTTCCTTCCTTTCTGGTTGCAGGAGAGGAATGGGGAAGAAAGGAAGGGGGAGAGGAGGGTGAAGAACAGAGGAGGTTTTCTATGGCGGAGAAAGTTTCGCGGTTGATGCCTTTATATACCTTTCGACAGTTGACGATTATATTCCTTTTGATGTTTGTAACGTACAAATTTCAATGGTTGGTATTAGGGGTTGTGAGATTCACAAACAAGGGTATTTTCGGTATGAAAAAAGGAATATATTAATTACTTTTTTTTATTAATTATATTGGGAATTAAAAATCCATATTAAATACAATTTTTTTCTGAAATTTAAATCCTATATATTAATATCTCTATCTATTTCTCTATCTTCCTTTTTTCAGCAGCCACTCCGCATCGACCGACAAACTTTTTCTCCGGCGAATTCTCTCCGGCAGACTCCCTCCGGCAACCTGAAAAAATGTACCAATGCGTTAAAAAGTGTACCAATCTATTAGTCTACTGGTAATTAATATACCAGTGCTAGTGGTACGCTACCAGTACGTTAAAAAATGTACCAGTACTAGCGGTACCAGTAAAAAATGTACCAGTACTAGTGGTACGCTACCAGTAGAGAATAACACAACGCTACTAGCACTGGTAGCGCTACCACTAGCATTGGTAGCGGTACCAGTAGCGAATAACACAAAAAAAAAAAAAAAAAACAGATGATAGTGGTACCAGATGATAGGGGAGCCACTGGTATTGGTACTAGTGAGTAGTGGTAGCGTACCAATAGCGCTACCAGTGGTATTGGTACCGGTAGAGACTATCAGATCTGGAAAAAAATAGGGATGAGGAAAGAGGGAGGCAGGGAAGAGTCTTGACCTCGCGGTGGCGGCAACATAAAAATGGTGGCGGCAGGGGAGGACAGCGGCGCGGCAGGGCGCGGGGGGAGGAAGCGGCGCCGGGGGGGGGGGGGGGAGGACAGCGGCGCGGCCGGTTCCTTGCCGGCGGGGGGAGGACAACTGCTTCTCCTTGATTGTCTTCGTGGTGGTGGTTATGGGAAGCTGCTGCAGCTGCTGTGATGGGGATGAGATCTCATCCATGGCGGCGGAGAGAGGGGGGAGGAGAGATGGTGATGTCTACGGGAGAGAGGGAGGAGAGAGAGAGGGAGGATGGAGGAGTTAGGGTTTTTGTTTAACCGTTAATTTAAAAAAAAAAAGAGATAGGAGAGAGAGCGTATCCAAGGGCTATGAAGTGGGTTGTGAATCTGACAACCCCCTTAGGGGTTGTCACCGTATCTCGTCCCGTATTAGGGCTGCAAATAAGTCTGAGTTTCTCGCGAGCGGCTCGGCGTTCGAATCGAAAAAAGCTTGTTCGAAACTTGGCTCGTTAATAAACGAGCCGAACATGAGCTAAGTTTTGTTCAACTTGTGAAGCTCGCGAGCTAGCTCGACTAGGTGACTTGTTGAGCTAAACTCGTGAGTTGGCTCGTTTGTAGTTCATAATATGTCTCAACATGTGGCTAGGAGCCAATTCGATTACCGACTTATGGACGAATCAATCTATATCTTATTATTTTAATTCGTATAGTTGTTAAATTATATATCTCACTATATATAAAGCTTACACGTTGAGTATGTGAACAAATATATCTTAGTTTCTACTTTAAAAAGAAATTATGTATCATAGTTTGCTTCGATACTATGAAATACATTATTTGATGTAGTTAAAATTTATTAGTTAAATGATATATGATACTAACAAAGTAAAATATGAGATTAGGTAACAAAATAAATCATATGTATCATGATACACAAAATGAAGTACCAAATAAAAGTCAAGATTTTAGTAAACAAACTAGCTCGAACTCGACTAGACTCGGCTCGTTAATAAACGAGTTGAGCTCGAGCTCGACTCATTTATTAACGAGCCGAGCTCAAGCTGGGGTAACGGCTCGTTTGCAGCCCTAGTTGGTATGCATGCAATTAAACAATTCTTTTTGGGTAGAAATGCAATTAAAAAAAGTTTGACTTCTATTTTTATTTTTATTTTCATTAAAAGGAGGCCAAGGCCAAGAAAAGAAAGGGGAATGGATTAGGTGTAACCTTATGGTGAGTAACCATGAGTAACCCGCTCACGTCAGCATGACATCAGCATTCTCTCTCTCCTGGAAAGCTTTTAAATTTTCTCTCCTTAATCTTTGACGGACGATTTCTCATTCGTTTTAAGTCAAAATTTAATTTTTTTGCACAGTTAGATCAGATTAATTGTGCTCTTCAAAATGATATCCATTTTGATATATTTTTCGAACAAAAAAATTGAGCCATTTTTTACCAGTCTATACCATATGGTATTGACTGGTATTGAAATAAGAGCATACCTATGGTTTGAAAAGTGTACCATGGTGGTATGACATAAACCAAAACTGTAGGATGGTTGAATACATGATAGTAGAGTATACTAATTGTCATTTACAATTTTTAACATTGTATTCCATAAGATACCACCCCGTACCAGGGTGGTATTGTATGGTATTGTGTGGTATTTTTTTGTCTTGTAATTTGTTCACCCAGAAATTTGTAGATCCAGTAGATCATGATGAACTTGTCCCTGATGTGCAAACGTTTTCAAAAACGAATTAAAAACGAAGAAGATACCATATGGTATGCAGTTGGTACCGAGAGGCCACAATTTTTTTTCTCAAAAAATGTTGAAAATTGATCTCATTTTGTAAAGCACGATGAACTCGTTCCATCTGTGCAAAAAAAAAAATTAAAATCCAAATTAAAACGAAAAAGATATGGGTCAATTAAGAAAGTTAGGGAAAATAAAAATGGTCTTTAATTCTCCATCCTTATATCTGGATTTTCTAAATGAAGGGTCCAGATTTGGTTATTATGAGTGCGCACCCTATCTTGAGCCAAAAGGAAGGCGCTACAGTGGGATTACAACTGAGGGGGAATCGGACACCACAACCTGTCGCTCAAAGGTAAAAAGTTTTGACTTCTATTATATGTCTGCTGATCTGCTCAATTTCTCGATCCCTCGTAAACATAAATTACCAAAATGTATTGTTTTTCTTTAATTTCACGATCCAGGTATGGAGAACTTGATTATTTATTTATTTAGATCTATATAGGGTGGTTTGAAATGGATCTTCTATTGGGGTATTTAGCCACATTCCCAATATAATGTTGGATTTGAGTAGAAATGCTATGTTTGTTGGAAAAAAATAATTTGGGTGTCTTATTTTTCAAATAGTACAAATGTATTATTCTTCAAATAAAAGGTTTTGTGAAAATACGTTGTATTGCGTTTTTATGCTTATATTGTCCTCCCTATTTTTATATAAACCCAAAATTATCCTTGCTTTTTTTTTTGGAAAAAATCCCAAAGTACACTAGTTTTTAAAAAAAATTCCCAAAATACATTAGTTATAAAAAAATTCCAAAACTACACATGTTTGAGCATCACCGTTTTTGTCTAAAACGGTGAAGGTCATCACCGCGTTTGACAAACACGGTGAGTACTTCACCGTTTTAAACTAAAACGGTGAAGGGTTCACCGCTTTTGTTAAAAACGGTGAATAACTCACCGTTTTAATTTAACACGGTGATGCCTTCACCGTTTTAAACTAAAACGGTGAAGGCTTCACCGTTTTTGTTGGCCGCGGTGAAGTTGCTGACGTGGACAGCACAGGGTATTCACCGCGTTAGACAAACACGGTGAATAACCCGTGTTTGTTTGCGTCAGCAATCCGCGCCAATGTGCTTTCACCGTGGCCGTTAGATGCGGTGAGACGCGGATCGTGGTTTTCTTCCCACGATCCGACGCCTCACAGCACGCCACGTCACCTTTGCATTCACCGCGTTTGGTTAAAGCGGTGAGTTCACCGCGTTCATCAAACGCGGTGAATGGAGCCCTAATAACTGCGCAGCAGCTCCTCCCCCCTTCCCCCAAACTATAAATACCCCCTTCCCCTTTCACTTTCAACTCACCCCACAAACATTTCACTTCTTTCTCCCTCAATTTATCCGCTCTAGTCTCGTTCTAAGTATGCTCTGTGGTTGCGGCTAAGTCCGATCTTCCACATCAGAAAGAATTACTAGAGTTTGACCCTAAAGCCCCCGTCCCGCTAAGTTCCCGTCCCTTACAAAGCTAAACCCGTCGAACCTCTGTCCGGCTTCCGCCAATAATGGACGAAGAGGCTCTTCGTGTAGGTTTTTGGTTTGTGATTTTTTTTAATCGAAACAATTTGATTTATTTTTTATCGTAACAATCTCTGATTATATTACTTTTTTATAGATGGGTGGCCGAGATATACGATCCTCGATTGTATATCCATTATGGCCCAAGGGATGCGAGTCTCTTAACCGATCAAGAAATGCATCGCTCCCGTGCCATTTGGGATAACAATCCGGTAATTTGATGAACTGACTTGCTTTATTTTATTATTTTCTAATGTTTTATTTTGCTTTATTTAATCTAATTAATTGATGTTTTTCCTATTTTTTTTAGGAATCTCTTGTTCCCGTGGTTCATAAAGGGACCAATAACTTGCCCGCTTGACATCCAAGGTTGGAGCCCTATATAGCGAGGACCGGTTTGGGAATGTTGCGCCATTTCTTGCGGATCGAGATCGACAACGAGCTGCTTACGGCAATGGCGGAACGATGGCGTCCCGTAACCCATACATTCCACCTTCCGGAGGGGGAAATGACGATCACCCTCAAAGACGTGGCGATCCTCACCGGGCTTCCTATATCTGGAGATGCCATCATTGGTTCCACGACCAAACCCGGAGGAGGTTGGGGGCCGCTCATCCGTGATCGTTTGGGCTTCGACATGCCGACCACCACACCAAATCAAGGACGGGGGCATCCACCGTTGAATGCGGGGCAAGTGTCGGTCCCGTGGCTGGTATCTCACATCCAGCAAGAGGTGGAACCATCCTGCACTACTCGATCCACCGTAGTTGATTGAACCACCACCCTCCCCGTAACCTCCTGTATAACCACCGCCTTGGTAGTTGCTCGAACTACCACCCCATTCGTACCCTCCTGCAAAACCATCATCATAAGAATACTGGTGAGAATGAGATTCACCGAGCGCCTCGGTCTCAACATACACCTCTGCAAGCCGGACTTGGTTATCGCTTAGGAACTGTAACATCATCATAACCGCGTCATCATCGTTTATGACAACTTCTTGGAACACGACCCCGCCAGCACTCATGTCTGGATACCGGTAAGTAATTTTGCCAAGTCTCGTCTGTCCGCTCGTACAAACCCTTTCTGCACAAAGATCATAGAGTTCTTGAAAATTGAATCGGGATTCAATTTTCAGCATAATGGATTCGCCGTCCTCATAATCAATGCCTATGTCAGAGTTTGTCACCCTTCCATTCCACCGAATAGTAAGATGAAACTTCTTGAATTTACCCATATCTACAATTTACAATAAGTATCTATTAGCTTAAAGACAGTAAAATTAACCAAAATCATATTGTACAACTAATATTAAATCATACCATAACTAACGGAAATAAATTCAACTAACTAACAACAACATAATACGAAAATTAAATCATACTATAACTAACGAACATAAGTTCAACTAACTAACAACAACATAATACGAAAATTAAATCATACTATAACTAACGAACATAAGTTCAACTAACTAACAACAACATAATACGAAAATTAAATCATACTATAACTACTAAAAACATAATTAGACCATAATACGAAAAGTCTCAACATACCGAAAAATTTCTGTTCTGTGTATTATGCTCGATTTTGGCTGCTGAAATTTGAAGAAAGAGGAGTGGTTATGTTTTTACAACTGCTGGTGGTGTGCTATTTATAGGAAAATCTGGCTACTATTCACCGTTTTTGTCAAAAACGGTGAACACTATCACCGCGTTTGTCTCAGACGGTGAATAGGTGGTAGCTGCGACCTAATTTTGACCTACCAGGGGTGGGAAACGTGGGAAATGATCACCGCGTTAGTTAACAACGGTGAAGGCTTCACCGTTTTTGACCAAAACGGTGATGTGTTCACCGTTGTTAATTAACGCGGTGAAAACTTCACCGTTTTGGTTTGAAACGGTGAATACTTCACCGTTTTAGTTTAAAACGGTACAGTACTCACCGTGTTTGTCAAACGCGGTGATGACCTTCACCGTTTTAGACAAAAATGGTGATGCTCAAACATGTGTAGTTTTGGAATTTTTTTTATAACTAATGTATTTTGGGAATTTTTTTTAAGAACATGTGTACTTTGAGATTTTTTCCTTTTTTTTTCTATCCAACTTTGGTAAAGACTTTCTCTAGTTATATCTCGTCGAATCCATTTCCACCTTCTTTCTTCGTGTTCGTCGTCATTGGCTCTTCCATAGCTTCCCATGAGTCTAAGGTGCTTTTCTTTTTATTCATCGGCTACATTGTCGACACGTCAATCCCCAATTTAAGTTTTCACATGGTTAGAAAAGAAGGTTGGTTTTATTTCTTAAATAAGTGGAAAGTAAATGGATATTTAAATAATTCAGAGTATAAGTAAGTAAGTCCCGCAATACACACTTTCTTACTCTATCTAACACCATATTCGATGAAATATCAAATACTAAATACTATATAGTATTACGAAACATTGAGCAAAGAATGGACGAAATTTCCATCGAAATGAATTTTGTTGGTTGAAAAAGCATCACAACAAACATATTAAAACAAAACAGAAAATATGATAAGCAGTGTCAGACGCCCACGGTGTGAGGTCTGACGGTGTGAGCACAGCGCACACTCTTGGAGGCACGACGCGACTGCCACTGTTTTGGTTTCATTACCCCTTTTCTGTTTTTTATCCCATACAAATTTAGGGGTCGTTTGGAAGTTGCGATTGTTAAATAGATGTATTGTTGAGAATGCATGTATAATATTATACATGTATTGTCGAATTTGATGCATTGTAGAATACAACGTTTGGTATGTGTGATTGTGTATGTCGCATCAGCTAAAAGCTGAGACAAAACAATCTCAACTCAACTATCTCAACAATCACAACTAAAAGTTGAGATATAACAATCACTCAAAATGAGTGATAGTTTCTGTCACATCACAGAAACAATCCATGTATTGTTTCTGCTAAAAATCAAAAAACAATGCATTGTAAACAATACATGCATAATGACAATCTCAACAAAACAATCGCAACTTCCAAACGACCCTAGCCTCCCATTAGCTCCCACTGTTTTTGATCCCATACTTCCATTCCTCTTGAAGTTCTTGAATCTTGATCTTTCCAAGCATAATTATTCGGAGAGAGCTATTGTCTCTAATATACTTGGACGATGTCAATGAGGCTGGCTTGTTTAGTTGTTTTATTTAAAGTACCTAAAGATACATACAAAGTCGTCATAATAATTGTATAGGCTGTGATACATACAAAGTCGTCATAATAATTGTATAGGCTGTGATACATGTGGAAAGTTACCAAAAATGGAGAAAATAGTATCTTTCCCCCCTATCATAGCCAAGGTACACTACTACATCTTGAACAAGGGTGAATTGTATTACAGTGGAAGTTGCTGAGATTGATGATCTCTTGGGTTCAAGGACAAAGAACAGAAGAAATGCGGAAGGAAGAAATAGACAGCCAGAAAGATAATGACTCCGAGATCAGCCTCTTCACCGATGGCCGGACGGCGAGGTTTCACCCAGTAAATCTGGCTAGCACACCACAGGCAGTAACAGATAGCTATCCCCACAACAAGTTGGTAAGACTGGTACGTCTGGTTTTTAAGGGACTTCATAGGCTTCACCCTGAAGATGCAAAAAGCAATAGAGTCCAAGCATTTGCAAATGACTACCAGCTAGTATAATGGAATGAAACATGGACAGTTTCAGTAGAAGAGAATGGTGCATACCTGTTGACATAAACAAACCCAAGGATTAGGCTAGTGCACAGAAATCCAGTAAAAAGAACAGCATCTGGATTGATTGGTGCCCGATTTTCCCACCATCCAGTGCTTAATATCCAACTGTACATCGAGGAATGTCCATTTTCCTGAACATTTTCCAGTACAGCAGCACATAAGGGAACCTAGGGGTTACAGTAAGCACTTCTGTTGCTAGCTAGCGAAGGAAAAACATGCAAACTTCGGACCAGCAACAAAGGGTAAACACTGAATTCTAATGCCTACGATATCCACGGATAGAAACAAACAATCAACATCTTGCACTTGCCACACATTTCAATCACAGAAACGCAATGCGATCATGTCGCAAACAACAAACGGTTTGCTATGACTAAACGGAGTTGAGCAGAGAAGAAGAGTGATCTCCAGACCTCGAACAAGTGGTCTAAGAAAAAGTGTGACAAAGATCCTGCAGATATCAAATACAAGCATTGCTTCCTTGACAGAGGAACCTGCATAGCAACCAAAATCCCTCATGAATACCCACATTTAAAATCCCCCAAATTCATCAACCAACTGGCAAAAATTGTGCTTCAACGAGTAAAAATGAATGCTTTTTGCAGTAAACTTGAAAACCCATCCCCCAATTAGGCAAGTAGTAGAAGTCAGCAGCAGCCAGATCCAGCAAAAAACCCCACCTGTACCCATTACCACAAATAACACCAAACCCCCCCAAAACGGCAGAATCATAGATCCCCGAATTAATTACAGCGACTGACAACATGGATCGAAGTTTAAAAGCTAAAACTGCTCACCCCAGAAGCGGAATCAAGGAGCTTGCGGCGGAGCAAGATATTGGAGAGCCAGGAGTAGAAAAAGGAGAAGGGGATCCCCAAAATTAGGATGTAATAAAGAGGGTGGTGGATAGAGTCGGCGAGGCGGGAGACAAAGGAGGATGAAGCGAAGAAGGAAGAAAGCCAGTCGGAGAAAGAGCCGATGTCCGGACCGAAGAAGGCGTTGATGGTGTAGGTTAAGGTGTGGTGTGGAGTGAATTGGCCGCCGGTGAGGGTTGTTAGGCCCACTCCGGACGCCATGGCGTACATGAGGTGAGCACCGGGTCCTGGCATGATCGGCGGCGTCACCCGGAGTCCGACCCGCCGCTCGATTCAGCTCATCGGCGGTTGCTGAATGAGTCGAACGATTGGCTGCCGCGAGTCAGACTACTGAATTTTTGCTAGTGGGAGAGATCGAGAGAGTCAAAGACGCTTCTTTTAAGAGGGAGGTAAAACAGAATTACCTGATTTTCTTCCTTGGGGTTAGTGATTTTGGACTTGCTTGTAAAATATTAAAGCTTAGATTCTAAAATTTAAGAAAAGAATACATTTAGGTCTAAAAAGATAATTTCCCGATAATATTAAAGTTTGGCCAAAAAACACCAAATTCAAAAAAGAAAAATATTCAAGAGTTTTAAATGAATATCCAAACAATGTGGTTTGAATAAATGTATTTCAAATGTAAATATTTCAAATTAAATTGTGCAAATACATGCATCAAATACATTTGAAATATTATTTAGGACTCAAATTTTGAGATGTCAAATTATTTGTTCATATGCAACAAATACACGAGTTGAATTTTAAATACTTTTAGGTTATAACTTATTAACTTTCATATGCATAATAATAATAATACGATATGATTTAAAAAATTAACTCAAACTAATAATAAAGTATGAATCTTTATATAAAAATAATTATGAATCTAACCTCTACAACGAATATCAAGTGGCAAATTACAAACCACTACTAATTTAACCACATTGAACACAAAACTTCTGATCAAGAATTCAGTCTTCGTCATCACTGCCGCTGCTTGATCCACTGTCCCCAATCTCTTGCTTCTCTCCGCTCTTCCTTTCCACTTCTCCTTTCTCTTCATCCTTCTTCTTCAACTTCAGAAACTCAATCAGCCTAGCAAGCACACCTACCGAATCACCATCATCATCATCATTCCTCATCAGCTGCTCCGCCACTTCAGCCGGAGTCACCTCTGCCTCAGAAATCCGCCCCTCGATCTCATCGAACAGCTCGTGATCCTTCACCCCAAGGTAATTTTCAGCCAGAATCCTGAACCCACAAGGAGTACAGTAAGACAGATTGATGTGCATATCCATCCTCCCGGGCCGCAGCAGCGCCGAATCCAGCTTCTCCTTGTGATTCGTCGTGAACACTATGATCCGCTCGTCGCCGCAGCTCGACCACAGCCCGTCGATGAAATTCAGCAACCCGGACAGCGTCACGTGCCGCCTCTGACCCGAATTCGAATTCGAATTATCCGCGGCGGCGGACCGATCCTGAAAATCGACCGTGCAGTCGATGTCCTCCACCACCAAAATCGACTGGTTCGCGGTCGCAATGATCAGCTTCCTGAGCTCGGAATTCTCCCTCAGCTCGGTCAGCTCGAGGTCGTAGACGTCGAAATTCAGGTAGTTCGCCATCGCCGCGATCAGGCTCGATTTGCCCGTACCGGGAGGGCCGTACAATAAGTAGCCTCTTTTCCACGCTTTCCCGACTCTCTTGTAGTAGTCCTTCCTCTTGACGAACCGCTCCAGGTCCGTCAGGATATTGTTCTTGAGCTCTGTATCGAGAGCCAGAGTATCGAATGTCGCCGGATGGTCGAGATTTACCCCCGTCCACACTTCGGAGATGTCCCCGTACAGATTCTCGGGCTCCACGGTGAAGATCTTGAGCGTCCTCTTCTCCTGCTTCATCGCTCTGGCTTCCCTGACGATGTGGGGGAAGTAGGATTTCACCGCCATTTCCTGGTGCTGTTTGGGGAAACTGACCTCGAAAAACTTAGCGTGGGAGAGCATTAATAAATCGTCGTCGTCATCGCGCGATGATCCGAGCCTCCTCCTCGGTGGGGACTGGATTTTTTTGGATCGCAGAATCCAATTGAACTTCACGCCCTCGAACTCGTCGGTGACCTCCTCGTGCCTCTCCATCCTGATCTGAATCGTGTTCTCCTTGTCGGGCTGGCTGACGTTGAGCCGCTTCGTCGACGGGTTGATCCTGCTGGCGAGGTAGGTCTCGGCGGCGTCGTAGATTTGGTTGGGGACCAGCCGGTCGTCGAATTCGTTGACGACCATGGTGAGCTGGGAGGAGAATTGGCTGAGGAATTTGCGGATGTAGAAGGTTAGGTAGTCGTGGAATTCGTCAGGGAGGAAGTCCTGTGCCACGGAACGGGCCACCATGATGGCTGCGGCCGCGGAGGCGGCTGCGGATAAGCTTGCTTTGAGTGATGATGAAACAGGGGAAGAAGAAGCCATGTTCGAGTGTTTGAAGGAATTAACAGGGCCGGAGGCAGAGAGAGTGCTGTGCTCTGTTTTTGGTAGTGGCAGGGGAAGCGAATGTGACCCGTCCGGCGTCTGCTATTTTATTAAGTAATAAAGTAAAGCTAAATCATACACGGACAAGGAACTGTGGAAGAGTGAGTGACAAAGGGAAAGCGAAGGTAAAAGTGTAAGGTCGACTATGGTATCTTAAGCTTGATAGTGAGACTTACTAAAGATAGATGAAGGGATCGAAGAGCCATGGGAATTCAAGAAGAAACTGTATCTAGCTGTCTAGTTGCATCGTTGTAAAAGGGTTAAGCTAAAATAGTAAAACTCTTGGACATCACAATCTTTTCTATGGATTAGTTCTTCTCGAGATAGATGCGATAGGTGCAGCATGTGTTCTTAATGCTCTGACGATCAAGGTTTCTAGTTGGAGTCGAATTAAGTAGAGTTCTTCATTAGAGCTATGTTTGGCGATTGCTTTAGATTGTGATCTGAGACGTGTTGGTCTTTTGAGTATTGATTTCTCAGTCCTGGCATCTGTTACAACAATGGCTCTCTCTAGGGGTGGGAATCGGTCGGTAAACGGTAAATTGGTTACCGAATTTACCGGTTTCGGTATACCGAACTGGCCAAAATTGTTTACCGTTACCGATACCGGTTTGTAACCGGTTTACCGATTACCGAATTACCGCAAGGGGGAACAAATTTGGTGATTGGATCCTTCTAAAGAATGGAGAATTACCTGCAGAAAATACACTATGCTGGATATAGCAACACCATCAGTAGCCTATGATATCATCAGTAGCCTATGATCTACGGGTTTGGTAATTACTTTGCCTCTGCCCATTCGTTTGTTTCATTCTCGAATCTATTCCCTACTATTTCAGCTGTAATGTGAATGTTCAAGATCATATAAGATAGTTATTCTCGCAGTTTCCTCGCCTCAAGTTGTCTTTGTTTATACCCTACTATTTTGAAGTAGTTCCAGATAGGACTACTCCTGCTTCTTCTTTTTGCTTCTGTCCCTCTGTTTGTAATTCAAATTGGTGGTAGTAGGTTCACTAGTTTTTCTCATATTTGCCCACTTCTGCTCCACCTTCCTTATTCGGTATTTACCGATTTACCGACGGTAAATACCGACCCCGTATCCGGTAAATTGGATCCTCACCGTCGCCACCGAATACCGATACCGACGGTAATCGGTTTATCGTTTACCGACCGTTACCGGTTCGGTAAAACGGTAAACCGGTTACCGTATTACCGTTTGTCAGCCCTAGCTCTCTCTAAAATGGATACCCTTTTGAATAAAGTTTGATTGGAAGAACCTCCTCATATGGGAGTTTCATTTTAAGAACTTTTGTAGCTGGGCAATGTGTGCTTTCTATGCTAATACGTCAATATTTAGCAGTCCATTATCGATGTCGTGACGAAGAACTTGGAAGATTAGACTGCATCTGAAACACGACTAATTACTTGATTATCGGCTTTTGTAGATCTCACTCGACAATGCACGCTATAAATATGTGGTTCGATGAATTGTATGCTTACCCACACTGAAATTAACCCTAACACTACTTTTCAAATGAAACTTCAAAGCCTTGGATGTGGTTGTGGTCTATTACACTCGGGCCCAAACTCAGGAAAGGCTCATTAGCCCGCTCATCAGTGGACAAAATCGGAAAATACTGACCTCTCTGTCCAACTGAAAGTCAGCCTCACGTAGGGATGGCAATGGGTCGGGTTGGGGCGGGTTTTGTCAAACCCAAACCCATGGGTTTATCCGCAAAAAAAAACCCGGGGTAAAACCCGTTGGGTTTGAAAAACTCAAACCCAACCCAACCCGCTGGGTATCCGCGGGTTCATGAGTACCCGCGGGTTCATGGGTACCCGTGGGTTTTTGTGGTAAAAATTTACAACAAGTTTCTTTCAAAATAAAAGTTTAACATCAATTTTTTCATACAAATAAATCATACAAAAACACCAATCTAGAGCATACAAGCAAACCGCAAATGATCAATACAAATTGTTCAAAATTAAAGATAAACATCCATAAACAATAAGATTAATTGAAAGCTTCTTCCTCGTCAACTAAGTTTCTTCACTCTCCACTTCATAATATCAACTTCATTCTAAACAATTAGAAAGAACAAATTATACATGTCTCCACAAACATAAAGAATATCAGTTCTTTAAGGAAGATATATTATTTAGAATATTAAATATACCGGGAAAGTAATTATATGTGTGTGGGCGGGTACCCATGGGGCGGGTTTACCTAAACCCAAACCCAACCCGACCCGATGAATAGTGTAGCGGGTTTAAACCCGAACCCGGCCCAAAACCAGTCAACACGAGTTTTACCCGTGTTGACCGGGTTGGGTCGAGTGGGTACCCGTGGGTTCGGGTTTTGTTGCCATCCATAGCCCCACGCTGACCCGGCCCGACATGAACCGGCCTTCTGACTACCTTCGTCTTCCTTCAAACTTCAACGCGATCACACGAGAATAACCCACTGCCTCCAGTTTCCACGCCCGCAAGAGACTGAAGTGATCGCCGGCTCCAACAATGGCTTCTCGATGCTTGTTCTTCATCGCGCTATTCATCACGCTGGTTGTCTTCTCTTCTTCACAGGTTCCTTTACTTTTCACTCCTACAAAGTCTCGAAATTGTAACTGAACCCTAATAAAGAATCCATAAGACCGCAAAACCAGTGAGCTGGGGTTTTTACCTTTTTCCTCAGCAGGTAACTGCTGCCCATGAACCGGTTGACCGTAGAATCCAGCTCTCATTATCGCCATTTGCATCGGGTCTCGAAGCTCTGCAGAATCAAATTGGGTAAAGTTCACTCCTTTTCCGTACCTACTCCGTTTGGTTGCTGATAAAATCATTGTTAGCTTTTTTCACTTGCTTTATCTCCTACTATCGTAGCCTGTTTCAGTTCAGTATTGTTTGCGAATGACTGTAAAAGGTCTTTTCTTTCTGTTTTGTAAATTTGTGTGCTTGCACCTTGCAGTTACTCTTTCCAGAAGGTTGGGCTGCTGCGCCTGGCGATGACCCACTCTTCCTACTCCCTAGAGAACAACAATGCGTTGAGTATATTGGGTGCCAATGTCATCGACACGGCTGTTGCTGTCCAGTCACTCAGAGGCGACATTGATATATCTTCGAAAACTCTCAGTGATCGGATTGCTAAAGTCTCAAACGTCGACAATTCGTGTGCTGTTGATGGGAAGCGCTTGGGGATTCACAAAGTGATTAGGGTTTCGTCAAAGACGGATTCATCAACTCCTTCGGTGGTTTGTGGTGCTTTCCGGGCGATATTTGCTGCTATTGCTTTGGATTCGGGGAAGGTGGATGAAGCTGGAAAGGTGTTTCTGAAAGTTCATGGTGGTGGTGGTGGTGATGTTGGAAGAGCTGCCTTGTAAGTTGACAGCCTTGATCCTTGCTAGGAGTTTGCTTCAAGTGGGTGTAAGTAGGCGAGTTCCAATCTAACGGTATTCAAGAGCTTGATTAGTTTCTCGAACTGTGGCTATCCTTGCTTTGGTTGCATAAATTGGGCGCTGCTAATATAGTTTCTGCTTGAGATAGTCTGTCTTGCTTATGTACATAAGTGTGGTTTCTGACTTTCCCATCTATTGCATCTTACAATTGGAATGGGAATGGAGTTTCGTTGGATTTGAAAGAAGTCATTATGAGACACATTAGCATCATTCTTCCTATCTGTTTGGAAACTCTGGTGCAACATGATAAGATACCTGAAATTTGCTTGTTAGAGTTACTGAGATCCTCATACAGTCGTCATTCGTCTAGGTTCTATCACTGATCAAGGACTTTGACAGTTCTTCTGTTATTTTAATTTATTTCTTTTGCCGGAATCTGGAGAAGCACTTTTAAAGAGACACATCTTTCTCCAGGCATGGTTTCCCATCCCATCGATGTTTTGAAAACATTGGATCTGTAGAATTGAGATGTAGACATTAGAGTCAAATGTCTGTCTTTGTGATGGTCCAATATTAAAACTAGAAAGATTCAAATTGATGAATGAAGAGTCTTAAGTCGAAAGCTTGTGATCTATGCTGAAGGTTCTCTTCATCTACTCTTGATATTACCTGGAAAATGAAGGATGTCACAGCTGGCTCATTTTCAAAGCTTATTTCTGCATCTTCCTCCAGAGGTTGTGCCCTGTGCAGTGGTTTCTTTTTACAGGAATGTGCTTGGTGCAACTCCTGGACCATGCCACCATTACCAACCTTAGACTTCCCATCCCAGCTCTGTCATGTGAGTTGGCTGCTAGTTTCCTTCCTTATCTAGCAGGTTCCCAGTTCCATGCTTGGTAAGCAGCTTGTAAAAAGGTCAACTGGGGCATCATGATGAAACTTTGGGTTACCCAATCTTAGGGAGACAACCAACCCAAGGAAAGCTTGGATGGGACAAAAATTCCAGGTTGGAAATGAGTGTAGTCTACTGTTTTAAGGAAATGATTGGACTTTGGCTTGGCCAATGAAGGAAGGAAAGTCATGGTTGGGAGAGGAGGGGAGTGGATATTCCATTGGAATGATGAGGTAGTTAGATTGTGACAATTAGGGGTGTCCATTCGGGTTTGGTTTTTCGGGTTTACCTGAAATCGACCCGATTATATACATTTTCGGTTTTTCAGGTTCGGGTTTGTTTCGGGTTTCGGGTTTTTTGATTTCGGGTTCGGTTATGCTTATCGGTTTTTCGGGTTCCGGCTAAAAACCTCCAATGAATAGAACTCTAACCCGTATTTTTAGGCGTTTGGGTTTTGGTTTTGCTTTAACCGAACCCGAACCCGATAAGGAATTTTTGGGTTTCGGATAATCGGAACCCGCAAGTCCTTATCGGGTTCGGTTTTAGTGGTTTTCGGTTTCGGGTTTTCGGGTTTTTTGGGTTTCGGTTCGGGTAACCGAACCCGACCCGAACTGACACCCCTAGTGACAATGTGTTTTTTTTGTGTTGGTGGAAGTTGGGATGGTATGGTAGGTTTATTAGGGAAGAAAACAATTTGGGATGCTTGTTGTTTAACATTCATAGATTCTCCATAGTTGTCTTTCACTTCCTTTGCCGAAAATCTAAATCTACCAGTTCAGTCTTCCTTCGTAAGGCCGAAAGAGACAACAGAGCTGCTATCACATTTGCATTTCATCCTTGCACGTTACAATTCCTCTCTTCCTCCTTATCCCATTTGAATGTATATATGTATGATGTGGATGTTGCCTCTCTCCCTATACTTGCAAACACCATTTTGTAATATTACTTCTTCTGTCAATATTGAAGTCTATTTTGCTCCCTATTACCAACATGACAAGTTAACACATTTTTAACTTCGTGGCCAAAAGTTAGAACATGATTACTGTTAAGAGGGATGTTAGCACATGCGACATTTGATTGAAAATCCGGGCGAACCAAGGTTTGACCACGTTTGAGCAAGGGTTGTAAACTAGACTTTGTTTCGGTTTGGCCCATGGTCAAGCAAGGTCAAAACTATGTTTGGCCCTAAAACCAAACCAAAACCATATTTGGCAGACCAAATTGTAACCCACCTTCAATTGGATTGAGGTCGAACCAGAATCTCGATTCTTCCGACTCAAATCAAAGAATCAATTGGAGTGAAAATATCAAAAAGAGAATTGATAAATGTCGTCCTTAAAATTACTATTGATCGTCCTAAAAAATAACAAAGTTACACTTTTAACCTTTTGTCATCTTTAGCAAACAAACATCACTTTAACTAAAAAAAATGAAAAACACTCAATTTCCCACACTCTCGAATTCATCGTTGACATTCTCGAGTCGTAATCGTTGGGAATACATCTGAATCATGAGTAGCGACTCCGACGAGGTAAAAATTCGACTTTTTTTTCAAAAAAAACCCAAAACCCCTCAACTGAAGCCAATTTTCGGTTGTACCATGGCTCAACCTAAGGCAATTTTCGGTTGTACCATGGACCAACCGAAAATCACCTTCGGTTGCACCATGGCTCAACCGAAGAGAGTCTTAGGTTGAGGGGTTTCGGAATTTTTTTGGATTTGTTTGGTTTATATCAATAATTTTATATTCTTTTACTACGATTTATGGTTCGGTCCATAAGATAATTTGTTGGATTTTGATTTATATTTTTTTAGATTTATGGAAGGGGAGGGATTGTTTGTTTTGTGTTTGATTTTGAAATTCAAAATAGACAATTTGATAAATTACATATTAAGTTAGGATGATGGTTAGTAATTTTTAGAACCAACTTTAATCAGTCTGATATCAAAATACTAGATAATTACGGGACAACTAAATCCCTATTATTACAAAAAAAGGCAGACAGCTCACCTTCCGGACCCACCAGAACTCCGCGCCTAGATAGATACCCCAACTCCCCTATTCCACGTCACCAGTCCATCCCGTCAACGGCTCCTCCCTTCCCCTCTGCAATTACCCAAATACCCTCCCGCGAAAACTTCACGAGAAAATCTCACCCGCCAGCCAGCGCCACTTCTCACTTCTCCCACTACCCCCGGTTGCCGGTAACTTTCCGTTACAAAACTCCCTCTCTCTCCCACATATTTATCCCACACCCTCTCTCTCCCAACCAAACATCTCTCCACTCTGTTTTCTTTCTACCTCCAGATTAGGGTTTCCCCGATTTCCAATTCTCCCATGGGCGCCGCGCCAGCACCAGAATCCGACGCGGAAACGGCACGGAGATCCGATTCCGTCGCCGCCTGTTCCATCCCGGAGGAGAACACACTCCTCTCCCACTCCCGCTGCTGCTTCACCTTCCCTTGCTTCCCCTCCCGCCGCCGATCCAGTTCCTTCTCTTCCTCCTCCTCTTCCCCTGCCTCCCCTTCGTCATCCCCTTGGTGGGAGAATTCCTGGCTGGCCGGCGGGATCCAGGCCGTCAAGAAGGTCAGGGAGTGGTCCGAGATCGTCGCCGGTCCCAAGTGGAAGACCTTCATCCGCAGGTTCAATCGAAAGGGCGCGATTGGCAACAATAGTAATAACCGACACGGGAAGTTTCAGTACGATCCCCTGAGTTACGCCTTGAACTTCGACGAGGGCCAGCACATGGATTTCGAGGACTACGACGATTACGGCAACCCCGTCGGTGGTGGTGGATTTCGTGATTTCTCTTCGCGCTACGCTTCGGTTTCCGTCTCCGGTAAGCCGCTGAACATGGACGCTCGCGTTATCGATGAATCGTCGGCCGCCGTCGTGTGAATGGAGTTTGGAAATTTGGACTCTGCCGGCGGTGGTTGCTAAATTGCGCCGCTGGGAGATGGGGAATTGGTTTCCGTCGCAGTCGGAGTCGGGTCGGGTACAGCTGGAGCCTGAGTGGATTGGGATGGGTTTTTTTGACTTGGGCTGGGGGTGACGGCGACGTAGCGTGACGGCGCCAATTCCTTCTCTGTAGTTTCCGTGTCCTTTAATTTCTTTATTTTTCTTTCCTTTTCTAATCTTAATTTTCGTGATTTTGTAAGTATAAATATTCAATAGAGAAACTTTAATTTATGTTTTTGCTTTTTTTGATTCGTTTCCTTAAAAAGAAAATAGGAATTCAATTTGATATGGTTGTTTATTTTTTTTTTATTGTTCCCGTTTCTATATTTAAGTTGGTACATTTGGATTGGTGCGTATAAATTATCATCAGTTTTTTTTTTATGAAAATGATAATGAAGATGAAGGAAGATTTGAGATGATAAAGCTGAGAGAGACTTAATTGGTTGAGAAAAAAGGCATCTGTTGCCGTTGGTTTGAGCGAGCTGCCTTTGTCGTATTCTTTTCCCAGGTATTTTTTAAGTAGAAAAGGTGCTGTAGACTTGTAGTGATCTCAAAGGTCACAAAAGCTTCATAAATTGGTACGCTAGGATTAGGAAAGGCTTAGAGGATTAGTAGTCTATAGTTAATTAACTTTTTGATTGTCAATAAGTTATTGTAATCTTTAGCATAGTAATGCATACTGTACTTAGAGTGGCAGATGAGTCAATCCGTTCACGAGCGGTTCGTCGTTTGGTCTCGTTTGACAATTGACTCTATTTGGCGGCTTATTGACCTCAACTCTTGAGCCAGCTCATTTAGAGCTATGAGTTGGTTTGATAGTAGTGAGTCATATCAACTACCAAAGTATGAGCGAATCAATCAATATAGTTCATCGACTTGTTGATAATTCATAGGTTTGTTAGATTATATATCTACTCACCACATATTATATTTAAGAATTTGTGCACGTGATCAAATATATTTTATTTATAATTTGAAAGGAAAATTATGTATTGTAGATTGCTCAGATACTAATTACTAATAAATAACATGATAATGAACAATTAAAAATTATGAACTAAATTATATGATACCTTAGCTCGAGCCGATCTCGCGCGCTAATTGAAGAACTCAACTCCAATAGAGCTCGTGAGCTTATTAACGAGCCGAGATCAAATCAACAATCTAGTAAACAAGTTGAGTTCAAACTCGACTCGTATATTAACAAATCGAATCTAAATAAACAAATCGAGTCCAAACTATATCAAAACTCACATCAACTCATTTGCAGCCCTAACTATAGGGGTGGGCATTCGGTCGGTTCGGTTTCGACCGAACCGAAATTATGAATACCGGGTCCCCGAATTCTCCCAAACCTCAAACCGAATTCGAAGCGAGTTATAATTCGGTTCGGTCGGTTTAAACCGAATTATAATTCGGTTCGGTTTTTCACACAAAACCGAATTTGTGAAGGTACTTGTATTTTCTCACTTTTAAATTATTTTTCACCCCTAATATAAACAATAAATATCAATTATATGCATCATCAATGATAAAACCAAATTTTTCAACACATAAGTCTTAAAACATTTCAAATATTTAAGTCTAAAAACAACTACAAACATAAAAATCCATCATTTGGAACTTGCAATTATAGTATTTCGGTTTTTCGGTCGGAAATTCGAAAATTCGGTTCGGTTGAAAGAGCCTTGATTTCCGAACTCTCCATATTTTCCTTCCGAATTCCGAACCAAATAGCATTAATTCGATTTCGGTTCGGTTTAATTCGGTTTCGGTTCCGAAACCGAACCGTTTGCCCACCCCTACCTAACTAGAACACCCAATTCTTAAAATGCAAGGCTCCAAACTACCCTCAATAAAAACTTAAATGCAGGGTGGCGCCCCACAGATTCCCTTTTGGATATTGATTTTGTAGCACATTGCTGTTGGAGGCAAGGCGTAGCTGTGCTGGCTAACATCCAAAATATGAACCACTTAATTTAATTGCACTTCCAATTGCTATAATCAAGTTTTACCTAACGCACTAATCCATCTCCTAACCCACCTAATTAGGTCCTCCACTTTGATCAATCCATTGGCTAATTCAACTTGGTAAGTTGGGCACAGCTCGGCAGTTAGTTATCATTATCCCTATCCAATCAACCGGCTGGTAACATAAAGTTTTATCTTAATCAAACATTATATTCCTCAATGATTCCATTAGCAAGAGTAGAGCTCGCACTAAGTACAGAGTCCTGTGACTATGACCGTCGAAACCATTTCATTCGTGATGGCAAAAGTCACCTGCACAGCACGCGTTGATATCTTCAGGATTTCTCACTCACACTCTCGGCAAGATGATGCTCGATTAGACACGACGAAACTAGGTGCAGTTAATCCGTCGTCGTTGTCTCCTGATCGACCAACATGTCTCGACGGTTCGCAGATTTGATCCCAAGAAGAGTGTCGACGACGATCCACGGAAAGCTCAAGCACGTCGTCGTCGTGCCTTCTTCGAAATAATCCGGATGGTACGTTACGTGGTACCAAGCAGACGCCAGCTGCTGCCGTTGCTTCACGCTGCATCCATTCTCGAACCACTCTTTCGCTTCTATCTGTAAGCTCTTCGTCGCCACGAGAATCCGATCCTTCGTCTCGCCGTACCTCCGGTTGTCCCGCTGAAGATACGCGGCCTTTCTGCGCAGATTCCCGGTCATGATCTCGTCCTCGTGCTTCGCATCGTAGTAGTTCATCAGCATGCTCAGTTTCTCCACGTACATGTCCTTGTGGGCCTCAGCTAGCGGCAGGAAGTCCCGGAAGCCTTCCACTTCAAGGTCCAGGTCGTAAGCTGCTTCGGCGACCTCCTTCGACCAGACGAAGGTGACCCCAGCTCGCGCGGAAGATTCGAGGGTGGCTCGGTAGAGCTTGCCGAGGACTCCCGTGGAGATGTACATTGGCTTCTCGGTTCGCTCCATGAAGTCAGGGTACTCTCTGGGTTTTAGGTACCTGGGCATGGCGGCTGGTGCTCCTGTTTTCGCGAAGTCGACTGCCATGGAGTGGAGTTGAGCCAACTCCAAGCACTTTGAGCTACAGGCTTTTTCTGGTTCGCGGTCGGCGAGGACTAGATGTGCGGTGGAGATGGCACCCAGCGTGTCGTTCACCATGTAATCGACGAAGAATTTGTGTATTTCCTGTGGAGTTTCGACAGAGTATTGAGATTTTGCATAAAAGGGCATGGGATAAAAACGAAAAAGGGAGGTTGTTTATGGGAATTGTCAAAGCGGGTGAGCTAGGAGTTTACCTCTAAACTGACTTTGTGATCCATGATTCGAGGTCTTCCTCCGAGGTAGTCCATGGGAGGCACTACTTGAGGTGGGATGAGGTCTTTGTCCCAACTTATGAAGAACAGGTCACCATCGAGGTCACCGCCCGAGCATTCATTTGGATGTGGCCTACGAGAGAGAGCTTCTTATCAAACTAACAGATTTAACCATCGAGTTGACTTGACTGACGATATAGTTTCTGTGAATTAAGACGATCAGCCATTGGCTTGATCACTAAGACAACGAGAAGATACTATTTCACTTCATTCTCTAGTGCAGAAGTGCATAGGAAAGATTATTCATATCAGAACACAGATAACCAAAAACAAATCTACGGCATGTGTAGGCTTACCTTGGTCCCTTCTGGGGAAATAGAATGCAGTCGAACAAACCCTTCTCTTCCAAGACCTCACTATACACGGCCTCAAGCACTCTGATATCACCTGGATGCAAACATGGATTTTTAGTGACGACCACCTTCCCTGTCAACACAGATGTCTTATCATCCACCTTCCTGAAGTAACTCTGATCCCCACATTGTAGCTCCTCTGCTTTTGTCCTTTTCAAACGCACATAAACTTGGCCATATTCCAAGATGCCACTCTCATCCAAACATCCAATGAGGACACGTCCCTTGGGGACAAATACCCTACACCTACCTTTCAACTCTGACAGCAGACTTTCATGATAAGATTGGAGCATCATTGATAAATAAGGTTCCTGGTTAGGCGCATAACCACCTTGAAGCAGCATTTTGACCAACACATGCTTTGCATTAGCCCAAGCAAGATTTTCCAACACATCTAAAGCTGCATCTCGATTGCTGAGCATTTGCTCCACTTGTTGCAGCTGTTCAAGTTGCAAAGATTCAAATGCTTCATCCTTCACACCCAAGGTAGACAAGAGAGAAATGATCTCTCGATTCAAATAGCAAGGCATCGCGTCACTCCCCTTTGTAACATTAAGCATCCTGTTGTCCGACTCAAATTTCAGCATGCTAGGCCTCAATGACAGTTTCCTGGAAGAACTACAGTCGACAGCAATCACACCTTTATACCCACCATATCGAATTTGAAATGCTGACGGAGTTTCACTCAGTCCACACTTTTCAGCAACTTGTCTAGCAAAAGGAAGAGAGATTTTGCCTATGCCATCCGAGAAACAATAGGTAACATCTTCATCCGTTGTAATTTCGATATCTGGAATAATCTCGACTTCTTGGGCAGGAACCTCTACAGTTTGTGAAGAAGCACTGAATAGTTGACCCATCCTTGCAGCACATTTTGACACACTACGGATCTTGTTGAAGCAACCCATCCATTCTCGAATATGTTCTGCTTTCAATTCTTCATTAGAAGCAAACATCCAAACAGCATTCGACCTCAGTTGACTTGCTGAGAATGCGAGAAATTCATACTTCTTTTTTCCGATCACAAACCCGTGTTTAAGTATAGTTAATATCCTGTCATATAGTTTGGTTCTAACAGGAGCTGCAAATATATCTTGCTGGAAGCTTGTGGAAATCGACTGAGGGGGAAGCTTGCTCCAGTCTTCCTCAACAAAAGTCACTCTCATGAAGTCTGCAGCATGCTTAGCAAAGTGTTTTACCACGTAATTAGATGATTCAAGCTCAGGTCCTAAGCAGTAAATCTTTAAAGGTGTAATCAAAGCCCTGTGACAACACATTATCTTTTTATAGCTTGTGGAGGAGCTGCTTCGCGTAGATGCTGCCATAGGTCCTTGAAGGTTTCTGCTTGGAGCACTTAACTGTGTCTTCACAAAGTCCACTGGATTGTAGCACATTGAATTCAGCTGGTGCAACTTTTCGAGAATCTTTGTAGCAGTCTCTATCGTCTGACCACTGAGGATGTTCACAAGATTAGCATCTACAGCTGCCATGCTTATCTTTTGAGTATGAACAAGAGAGTTAAGCTGGAAAATGATCTCATAATCTATGTTTGCATCTGTTTTTACCAATGGAACTGTTTCAGATGCATAACAGTATTCAAACCAGTCCTCCAAAGTCAGATCTTTGAGAGGCCCCCCGTAATAAGGAAGACACTTGAAGATTT